CTCTATGTATAAAGAAATGCCTGAATTTTACATAACCACTGAAGTTCCATAAACTCCTTACTTCCCTAAACATTATGTCACGGACAGCTTTTCATGTCAGTAAATATAGAGCTTTATCATAAATTGCATTAATTATTTAATCTGAACAGTAGTGCCTCTTATAATGACTTAAAGTTTGTTTTCAAAAATTTTGTATTTTTAATGTAACAAAGCTGCAATGAACATCCTTGTACACACATATTTTCATATTTGGATAATTATCTTCTCCTTTGGGTAAATCTTGGAGGATTCCTGAGTCAACAGGTATACAGGGTCTAAATATTTGCACATCTTGCCAAACTCCACACCAGAAAAGCTGCATGATGTGCCCTTCTACCCTCGCAGTGCAGGAGAGCACCTTATCTCTGCTCCTTCACCGCTCTGCCTTCTGCTAATCTCTCTTTTTAAAAACTAACATCCTGGGCTTCCCTGGTGGCGCAGTGGTTGAGAGTCCACCTGACGGTGCAGGGGACACAGGTTCGTGCCCCGGTCCAGCAAGATCCCACATGCCGCAGAGCGGCTGCGCCCGTGAGCCATGGCCGCTGAGCCTGCGCGTCCGGAGCCTGTGCTCCGCAACGGGAGAGGCCATGGCAGTGAGAGGCCCGCGTACCACAAAAACAAAACAAAACAATACAAAACTAGCATCCTTATTGATATATAAGTCACATACCACACAATTAACCAATTCAGAATACAGCACGCGATCAATGGTTTTGAGTGTATTCACAGAATTGTTTAACCATTGTCACGGCCAACTTTAGGACATTTTCATGACCCCCCAAAGAAATCCCATTGTTCACTCTTTCCCATTCTCCCCAAACCCTGGCGACCACTCATCTGCTTTCTGTCTCTATGGCTTTGCCTATTCTGGACATTTAAATTAAATGGAATTATACAACAGGTGCCCTCTCGTGCCTGGTTTATTTTACTCAACATACTTTTTTCGAGAATCATTCACATTGTAGTGAAGCTGAGCGCCCTAAAACCAAGTTCCCTTGCCAGGTTTATGATTAATCTCTCTCTATCCAAAACTTTATTCCTTTTCTTGTCCTCTCTGACCTCAGCCCCTTTCTTGTCTCCCCTGACCTTTATCCTGTGCTAATTGAACCCTAATCAACCAGAGGCATCTGATGACCAAAACTGCTGTTGTTGATAACATGATATCATCATCCATGTACTAAAACTGCTGTTGTAGACATCATCATTAATGTATGAAATCACGTTGTTTCTCCAGGGCAAGATGAACTCACAGGCCCCTGAGCCATGGACCATCTTGCTCAGAGAATTGTAAACCAGAAACATCCTGACCCCTTGAAAGTATGAATTTTAAAATGTCACAGAAGGGGCTTCCCTGGTGACGCAGTGGTTAAGAATCCGCCTGCCAATGCAGGGGACATGGGTTCAAGCCCTGGTCTGGGAAGATCCCACATGCCGTGGAGCAACTAAGCCTGTGTGCCACAGCTACTGTGCTTGTGCTCTGGAGCCCACGTGCCACAACTACTGAGCCCACGTGCCACAACTACTGAAGCTCGTGCACAACTAAGCACAACTAAGATCCAAAGGAGAAAAAAAAAACCTCTTAGAAAAATAGAAATAGTAAGGAACTTCCTTAATCTGATTAAGGCTATCTACAACAAACATCACACTTAATGTTGAAATGTTTGCTTTCTCTAAAATGAGGAGTTAGACAAGGATGCCAGTTCATACTACTTCTTTACCACAATGTACTGGAGGAACTAACTAGTCCAGCAAGGCAAGAAAAAGAAATATAAGACATAAACATTGGAAACGAAGAGATAATCTATTTAACAAGGCTGTGGATATAAAATCAATATACAAAGGTCAATTGCATTTTTATACACCAGCAGCTAATGGAAAATGAAATTAAAAAACAAAACCAAAAGATAGCTTTTAAAATAGCTTAAAAAATATCAGGTACCCAGGAGTAAAGAAAGAATACAAGACCCTCTATGGAGAAAACCATAACACTATAAACTAAAACTTTACCAAAGGACTTGAAGGAAGACCTAAATAAGTGGAGAGAAGATCTAGCATGTTCTTGGATGGGAAGACTCAACATTGTAAATTGTTCTATGGATTCACCATAATCCCAGTGAGAACCCCAACAGGTGTTTTTCATTTTTGTTGTGGAACTTAATGACCAGACTCTAAGATTTATATGGAAATGCAAAGGGCCAAGAGAAGCCAAGACCTTTTTTTTTTTGGCTGTGCTGTGTGTGGCATGTGGGATCTTAGTTTTCCGACCAGGGATCGAACCCACGCCCCCTGCATTGGAAGCCCAAAGTCTTAACCACTGGACCGCCAGGGAGGTCCCCCAAGACCCTCTTAAAGAAAAACAATGTGGGAGAACTTGCTCCTTTGGACATCAAGACTTCAATGCACCACAGTACCCAAGATCATTGTCACAAGAAGACAAACAGGCCAATGAAACAAAAAAAACCCAGGACTTCCCCGGTGGTGCAGCGGTTGAGAGTCCACCTGCCGATGCAGGGGACACGGGTTCGTGCCCCGGTCCGGGAAGATCCCACATGCCGCGGAGCGGCTGGGCCCGTGAGCCATGGCCGCTGAGCCTGCGTGTCCGGAGCCTGTGCTCCGCAACGGAAGAGGCCGCAACAGTGAGAGGCCCGCGTACCGCAAAAAAAAATAAAAATAAAAAGAGAGACCCCAGGATCAAATCCACAATCACCTGATTTATGATGGCACTGAGAACAGTGGGGAAAAGACCATCTTTCCAACAAGGAATCGTGGAAAAATTAGGCATCCATATTTTTAAAAATATGAAACCATAAAAAAAGTTTTAGATAGAGTGAAATGGCAAATCAAAGAGGTAGAAGCTATTTGCAACCACATAACTGACAACAGACTCGTCAAGAACCTATAAAGTGCTCCTGCAAGTCTGTAAGAACAAGAGCAGACAACCCCAGACAAAGATGGCCAAGAGGGACTTCTCTGGTGGTCCAGTGGGTAAGACTCTGCGCTCCGAATGCAAGGGGCCGGCATGCATGCCGCAACTAAGAAGCCCACATGCCACGACTAAAAACAAAGAAAAAAAGATCCCGGGACTTCCCTGGTGGGGCAGTGGTTAAGAATCCACCTGTCAATGAAGGGGACACGGGTTCGAGCCCTGGTCCGGGAAGATCCCACATGCCGCGGAGCAACTAAGCCTGTGCGCCACAACTACTGAGCCTGTGGTCTAGAGCCCGTGAGTCACAACTACTGAAGCCCGAGCGCCTAGAGCCCGTGCTCTGCAACAAGAGAAGCCCACACACCGCAACGAAGAGTAGCCCCCATGCACCGCAACGAAGAGTAGCCCCCGCTCACCGCAACTAGAGAAAGACTGCGCGCAGCAACAAAGACCCAACGCAGCCAAAAAGAAATATATAATAAGTAAATAAATTAAAAAAGGAAAATAAAAGATCCCACATGCCACAACAAAGATCCTGCATGCCGAAACTAAGTCCCAGCGCAGCCTAAATAAATAAATAAATATAGAAAAGAAAGAAAGAAAGAAGCAAAAATGGCCAAGAGGGACTTCCTTGGCAGTCCAGTGGTTAAGACTCTGCAATTCCAATGCAGAGGGCGCAGGGGGCACAGGTTCGATCCCTAGGATCCCACATGCCGTGTGGCGTGGCCAGAAAAAAAAAATGGCCAAGAAACTTGACCAAGTACTTCACAAAACAGGGAATCCAAGGGTCCAATAGATTTATGGAAATGGAAGTCACGTGTGTAGTTTTACGTTTTCTGCCAGTCACGTTAAAAAAAGTTTTAAAAAATAGGTACAATTAATTTTAATATTAACTCAATATATCCAAAATGTTATCATTTTTACACATAATATAAAAAATACTGGTGACATATTTTTGGGGTTTGGTTTGGTTTTTGTACTAAGTCTTTGAAATCCAGTGTGGTTTTTTTTTGTTTTTTGGGGGTTTTTTTTGTGGTACGCGGGCCTCTCACTGTTGTGGCCTCTCCCGTTGCAGAGCACAGGCTCCAGACGCGCAGGCTCAGCGGCCATGGCTCACGGGCCCAGCCGCTCCGCGGCATGTGGGATCTTCCCGGACCGGGGCACGAACCGTGTCCCCTGCATCGGCAGGCGGACTCTCAACCACTGCGCCACCAGGGAAGCCCTCCAGTGTGTTTTTTACACTCACAACACATCTCAACTCCGACTACCCACATTTCAAGCCCTCAACAGCTGTATCTGGCTAGTGGCTAGCCTATGGTCTGTTAAAGTATACAATGCCAAACTCTAGGTAATATTAGCCATTGATCAGATAAGCAAACTAGGTCCTATCTGGAACTGACTGATAAATCCTGGCCACCTAAGGAATATCTAAGTCGAGTAGGGGTGTACTAGGTCTTACCGACAGTCACCTCTTGTGGCCATGCTGTCCCATCAGTTTTCTGTCCTGACCCATCTCCTCCTACTGTTCCCTGCAGTACTGGCTGAATCCTTCCAGCAAAGCAATGTGAGATGAGGTGTTTAAACATAGCTAATATGTTGGCCATCAGAGCTCATAGACAGGCCTCCCACAGAAAGAGCAAGGGAAGCCTTTAAATTATCCTGTCGTCCTGTGAGCAGAAACTTTTCGAGGCCTCTTTATCTGGGCCCTTCAAACCCCTATTTGAAGGCAATCCTGGGAAACTGGGTAAAGAACAGAGAAATCAGAAAATGATATTTTAATACATTTAGAATGGATAAACAAGGTCCTACTATATAGCACAGGGAACTATATCCAATCCCCTGGGATAAACCATAATGGAAAAGAACATAAAAAAAAAAAAAGAATTTAAGGACTTCCCTGGCGGTCCAGTAGTTAAGACGCTGTGCTTCCCTGCAGGGGGCCCAGGTTTGATCCCTGATTGGGGGAACTAGGATCCTGCATGCCACGCAGCGTGGCCAAAAAAAAAACAGAAAAAAATAAAGAATGTGTATAACTGAGTCACTTTGCTGTACAGCAGAAATTAGCATAACATTGTTAATCAACTGTACTTCAATTTAAAAAAAAAGAAAATGATATTTTAAGAGGAAGGCCTGGCACCAGCTTGTTGCTGTCCTGAAGCTTGGGAGCACGCGCCCAAAGCAGTGTGCTTGGGTCAGGGTACCAGAAGCTGTGCCCTGCTGCCCTGCTCTCCAATTCTGCCCGGGAGACCCCAGGCTCCATGAAGGCGGACATTCTTTTCTCTCCTCCCCGCAGAAGCTCCAGCGGTTAGCACCTCCCTGCAAGCTAATAATGATCTTCCAAATAAACTGAGCAGGGAGAGAAGAGCCCGCCCCTACCCTCAGGGACTCTCCTCTCAGGGAGATAGGAGGTGGAGCCCAGGGCCTGACCCAAAGATTTCCAGGTCTGACCAGTGGATGAGGAGTCCTGGGCCCTGCCTCGGGGGGGACCCCCATGCTGGCTGGGAATGCAGACTCACCCTCATGGCAGTCAGGACTGTGAGCTGGGGCTTGAGGGCTTATTCTCAGGGTGGTGGAGGTCAGAGGTCAGCCAGGATGGAATCATCAGGGGAGACACCCCCCAAGGCCGTGCTTATCTGGGAGCAGCAGAGGGAGTGAGAAAGCCCTTGTGCCATGGCACAAAAGGGAGAATTTCTCATTATTCCTTTACATTCCACCCCTGCCTTGGCAGGTGAACACACACACAGCGGGGCTGTGGAACCTGTCCTCAGCCTGCACCTGAGCGGGAAGACCACCCACACTAGCAGACGCCTGGGCTAAAAAGATGTGGGCAGCGTGGAAGCGAGTGGCGCCCTTGCCCACTCCCGGCCCTCACAGACACGGCCCACCCACACTCCCCAATCAGACAACTCCTCATCCTCAGAGGTCAGCTAAGACATTAAGGACTCTGAAAAGCCTGTCTGAACTACTCTCCTCCTGGCTTGGGCCTCTGGGTCCTCCAGACACAGCCAATTTTGACCTAGTCATCTCAAGTCCAACATGGTACCTTTATTGGAATGAATCACACCCTAGCTCCCCGAGAAGGGGCCATTTTTGGATCTCCAGGGCTGGCCTCGGGGCAGGACTGACCCTGCCCCCACCAAGCTGGACTGGGACCGGAAATCATGGTCTGAGATCCACAGCCCCAGATCCGGCCACTCAACTCCAACCCGAGATCATCTGCGGGCCTGGCCCTCAGTCCTCCTGTTTGTCTATTTCCTCTGCTCCAGATTGCAAAGACAGGTTGGAGAGACTGTCTTGGTCCACATTTGTCATCGTGGCGTTGAAAATGGTGTTCTTGGCCACTTCCTCTGTCACATCGTCACATAACATGTCCTCGCTCGACATGTCCTCGCTCAAGGTCCTGAAGAAACCATTGGAGAAAAACTCATGAGCTGCATCTTTTTGGGAGCTGAGAAAAGCAGCACCGGCCAGGCCTGGCTCTGCACTCCTGAGAGGTGGGTCTTTCCCACGCCTTGGCAGGTCCCCAGCCAAGCTTCGCCATGAGCCCGGGAGGGACCCTCACCTCCAGGAGCAGACCTGTTCCATCTCCCAACCCTAGTCAGACCCTTCACTCTTCTGCATCTTTGGGACGCTGTCCACCATCTTCATCACGAGCATTTACTGAGCACTTGCCTCGAGCCACTGTGCCAACCACTTTATTATTTTTTAATTAATTAATTAGTTAGTTAGTTATTTTTGGCCGCACCATGTGGCTTGTGGGATTTTAGTTCCCTGACCAGGGATCGAGTCCCAGGCCCTCTGCATTGAGAGTGCAAAGTCCTAACCACTGAACCGCCAGGAAATTCCTCCAACCACTTTAAATGGGTGTAACCTTCCCAAATCCCTATGAGATAGGAAGGCTCAGCTCCATGTCTTTACCTCTCTGTGCCTCAGTTTCCTCACCTGTAAAATGAGGGATAGTGACAGGACCTACCTGTCACTATCGTAGGTGGTGGTTGTTAGGATGAAATGTGAAAAGGCATGTATCTAGAACAGGACCTGACACATGGTAAATGCTCCATACAGGTTAGCTATTATTATTACTATTATTATTATGCTATCATCCCATTTTGCAAATGTAGAAACTGAGTCTCAGAAGTATTAGGTAACTTCCCTGTGCACATGCTAGGAAGTGTTAGCAGAGGTAGAAATCCAGACCCTTTGGCTCCAGAGCCTGTGTTCTTACCTACTATGTTGTCACTCTGCTGCATGGCACTCCCCCTCTCTACAATGGGGCAAACGCCTATTCATCCTTCAAAGCCCTACTCAAATATCACTTTCTCTGGGAAACCTGCCCCAACTCCCCAAACTAAAGTTCCTCCCTCCTGGGGTCCCTATACGTCCTGTACATCCCTCTGTCAGAGTCCATTGGTGATAACTGTTTGCGTATCTGTCTCCCTATAAACTACGGCTTGCTTAAGCCTGGGGACTTCTTACCAGCCCTGGTACAATGCCTAGCACAGGTGGTATAAATGAGAGTTTGAAAAAGGAGGCAAGGAGGAGGGGGTGGTGGGGAGGAGGACTGAGGAAGGCCAAAGGCCCCTGTGCTATTAGCAGAGGGCACTGTAGGACATGAAGCAGCCTCTGCCCCTCCCTGTTGCTCAGGTCCAGGAAGAGAGTTCTGGGCTTTGCTGGCCCAAATCCCAGAAGGGATGGTGCTACCAATCATAACAAGCCTTCTCCAGTGGCACTAGGAGACCAGAGACCAGAAGTGCCCATGAAGCAGTTGGGTGGAGCGCATCATTTCCCACATGGGGTCCTGGGCTACTGGGGCCAAGAGGCCAGAGTCGTAAATCAAGACTGGGTCCTTTGTGAGCACCTGGGAGTTCAGAAATGAATGGAGAGGTACTCAGAGAGCTGGTTCCAAGCCAGTCCCCTGTGCCCTGGGAGGAGAGGGAGCCCTGAGTATTTCGAAGGGCGTCACCCCAGTCCAGACAGGCACCAGGGCATGAGGAAAGAAGAAGACGTGGCCCAGGCTAGGTCAGGAGAGCCAGGCAGGATGGGAGCCGGCAGAGGCTGAGCTGGACAGAGGTACGTGGCAGCATCCAGTAGAGCTAGGGAGTCTGCTGTGGACATAGAGTAGCCCTTGTATCATAGGCCCTTCTGGCAAAGGGGCAGGGATGGACAGTGCTTGAGAACGAGGCCCTGTTCTGACCAGAGCCCAGGAGCCTCACACACCTACCTTCTCTCTGGGGGAAGGTGCTTCAGGCTGTCAGGGATGGGCTGATCTTGCGTTTCTGGCAGCTTGACACAGAAGAACAAAGCCACGAAGGCTGAGATGCAGCAGAGAAAGACGGGTAGGATGGCGATGTTCTGGTTGACGACTATCAAGGACGAGATACCTTCAGCCGCCCAGACCAGAGACAGTAGCCCCAGACCTGTCGCCCTGGAAGGGGAGGTGAAAGTTCACTTGGGGGCTTCTTGGGCCCAGAGACTGGGTAGGGTGGAAAAAGGTTTTAGGGAAAACCCCACACCCTCATCTCCACCCTGTCCCAACTCACTGTGCAACCTTGGAGAATTTAGTTCTTTACTGTTGCAAGGTAGGTAGTAGTTTCTTCATGGGTCCAGGAGTGGGAAAAGTAAGACCACACACCATAGCGTGGGTATGCAGGGGAGGGTGGGGAGGAGGATACTGTAGCCATCACCAAGGGCCCCCGTGGAGAAGGGCCTGAACCTCAGAGCGGCCCAGTCACATTTCAGGCAGTCAGTGCAAGTCAGGAACTGGAGTCTGACTGCCTAGGTCCAAATCCCACTTCTGTCACCTGCTGTGTTTGACCTTGAGCCAGTGCCCTTATCTCTCTGATGTCCTGTCTGAAATAGGGTTAATGATGGTGTTAGGGGGATTTTTTTTGGTGAGGGTTAGATGGAATAACCCATGTAAATTGCTTAGCAGGGTGCCTCTCACCAGCTGATTGCCCAGTCTCAGCTGCTGTTATTCATCTTGCTATTGCCCCACACTCCCCATGCCCCCACGGCCATCACCTACCAGGCCCCCTACCTGAGGACAGTGGGGAGGAGCTCAGAAGTGTAGATGTAGAACACGGTGACCGTGGCGGCCAGGCTGAACTCCCCAAGCACGATTATCAAGACCAAGAGGGATTTCAACTCTGTGGCCAGACAATGTGGCCATCCTTCCCTCGGGGCAGGTTGGGGGGCCTGCCCACCGGCCCTCCCTCAATCCCTCTTAGAAGGCATCTGAAGGTCCACCCAGACCACCTGGTTAGCTGGCCAGCAGACTCACAGGAGGGTCAGTCTGCTAGAGGCCCAGCCAGGCCGCGAATTAATACATCTGCAGCGGGAGAGTTGGTCAGTGGAGTGGGACCTCTGTGGCCTCTCAGGCCACCATCTACTGTGTGGACTCAGCTGTTGCACCTCTGCCTCCCTGTATTCCACATGTTCACCCAGCTTCACCCACCCCACGGCCAGCTCTTCCTGAAGCATCCACTCAGCCCCAGGCCTGCGCCTTGTGTGCCGGGCTCCCTGCTCAGGGCTCTCCCCACTTCCCCTTCATTCTCTGCAAGCCTGGTCCCTGGGGCCCGAACAGCTAGACGTTCCGGGATGCCCAACTCCAGACACGTACATTGGAGGAGGAAGAAAAGAGCCTGGGAAATACCCTTCCTCAGGCCTGGGGAAGCTGGGAGCTGGACCCCCTGCTCACTGACCTGGAGCCAGGAGTTTCAGCTCCTTCCCTATCAGCCTCTGCTGGACCCTGCCCCAGGCCTCCCCACTCCCCACTTTGGGTCTGGCTTTACTTGGCTCTGGGATGAAACCGGAGATCTAATTTTATATATTGGGGATTTTCCTCCTAGTTTCTCTCACACATGTGAGAGTTTCAGACATTTCTGCTTGACTCATTATAGACCCACTTTTTTAAAAAAACACCAGACAATAGAAATTGAACAATGGCTTTGTTTCCCCCATCTTCTTTTAGCCTGTCAACACTGTCAACATCTGGGAGAGGAAGAGTCCAGGTCAAGACACACAAAATTCCAGACCCCAGGGAAAGTGAGGGAGCCCCTTGAGGTGGACCCCGCATCCAGGCTCCGCCATCCCGGCCCCAGTGGCTGAGGGGGCTCTTGCGGTCAGCAATTCTGATCAGGTGAATGAACACTGACATCTTTTTTTCTTGGCCATGCCACATGGCTTGCGGGATTAGGATTAGCTCCCTGACCGGGGACTGAACCTGGGGCCCCCTGCAATGGAAGCTCGAAGTCCTAACCACTGGGCCGGCAGGATATTCCCAACAACATCTTTTTTTTTTTGCGGTACGCGGGCCTCTCACTGTTGTGGCCTCTCCCGTTGCGGAGCACAGGCTCCGGACGCGCAGGCTCAGCGGCCATGGCTCACGGGCCCAGCCACTCCGTGGCATGTGGGATCTTCCTGGACCGGGGCACGAACCTGTGTCCCCTGCATCGGAAGGCGGACTCTCAACCACTGCGCCACCAGGGAAGCCCCCAACACTGACATCTTAATGTCCACATCCTCAGCCCCGCCACACTCTTCTAGCCTTGTGACCTGGAGCATATGCATTGTCTTAAGGTTCTTTGAAATTCTGAAAATATTGCCAGCCCACCCTCCCGTTTCCTTCCCTAGTTCTGAGTTGACAGGGTGCAGGGCACTGTGCCCGGCCTGGGAAGGAGTGGCCTCCATGCAAGAATTGTTCCTGAGAGTTTGGCCCAATGTTACACTCAATCTTCAGTGGGCAAGTGATCTTTTCCTGGTGAGACTACAGATGAGACAGGGCAGCGGTAGCAGTTGAAGGACTACTTTTGCTGCATCTGTTCACATTTAATTATTGACAGGGGTTGGAATCAGGCAGAAGAAGGCTGCCCACTCTCCTGCACAAGGACGATTCCTCTGGACAGCACGTCCTCCCTTCCCAGGTCTCTGGGAGCTGCAAGCGCCCTGTTTGGGATACCCCCTCCCCTCCGAGAGGGCAGTGCTCTAGAGAATGGCCCCTGCTCAGGACATGCAGGGGCCTCTGTAGGGCAGGTGGGGTCTGGATGCATGAGGCTAACTGCCAAGGTGTTTTGTTGGCTGGATAGGGGCAGGAGGCAGGAGGCAGGGGTTTGAGGAAGCTGGAAGGCCGGGGGTGGCATCAGGGAGGTGAAGTGGGAGGTTAGGGGAAGCTGTACCTTAGGGGAGCAGAAGGCTAAGGAAGCACATGAGGGCACCTTGGAAGAAAGTCAAAATCAGGCTTCGCTTCCTCTTCAACTGCTCAAGGAGAAAGATGCAGCACAGCCGGGCGGGCACCTCCATCATGCCAGGAATCACTTGTGTGAAGTGGATGTTCACTCCCAATTCCTTCATCCTGAGGCTCAGCATGTAACAGTTGCAACCGATAGCAAACCTGGAATTCACTGCCAGAAGAGAGACACTTAGAGAAAAAGACACCTACAGAAAGCCGGGGCCAGGAATAAAGACAGAGGCAGAGGAGAGCGCAGCAGGGTGGCAATGGAGAGAGAAAGGAGCACAGAGATCTGGGCTCTGCAGGCTGCACCAGGGTCCTCAGGCCATGCTCCCCCTGCAGCCTGCCCACGCCCATCGTCTCCCTGTACCCCTGGCCTGCAAGGCCGTTTGCAGTCCCTGCTGGGTACTCACCACATGCTGCACATCACCAAGGTCACCTTGCGGAGGTGCCTGTTGCTATAGAAGTCCAGGATAGAGGCCGTAGTCACCTTCTCTCCAGGCAGCTGCAGCTACAGGACAAGCAGGACCAGCCAGAGGCAGGGCTGAGACCCCAGCTTGCTCCTTCCCCCAACAGGACTCACGAGACCCCCCTGCCCCCCACAGGGCCAGCCTGGCCTCTGTCTTTCCCCTGGCAGGGCTTGATTTTGCTGTCACCATACTCCTCAAGCAGTGGGCTGGGGATACCCTTTGGGCCGAGGTCCTACCTGAAAGGATGAGGAGGGAAGAGGCCCTTGCATAGCCCCCTGCCCTGGTCCCACTCTAGGCCTGAAGCTTCTTACCTTATCCAGCAGACTTGAAGGAACGGTCTTCTTGTTCACACCAGCTGCATAGCACAGCACCTGCTTGGCCTCTTTCAGCTTCCCTTTCATCATCAGCCACCGTGGGGACTCTGGGAGAATCCTGCATGGCCCGCCCCTCTCTTACCCATCACTCCAAGATGCTCCGCAGACCCAAGGTGGCACCATCCCAGCCTCAGTGGTGGCCATCCTGCTCCAGCATGAGGTGACTCAGATGTTGGAGGCCCTGAAGGCGGCCATCAACCTTGGCCTCCCTCGCCCACCCTCGGCAGTCAGCCCGTCCCCTGCCCAAGCCATACACAGTACCCACTGCTGCTCAGTGACACCCTGCCCACTGGCTGCCTCTGCACTACAGCTTCCTTTCCTCGGGGCCACCTCTAAGAGCTGTTTTCTATCTTGGGGGTTGTCCCCACCTGCCAGGCATACTGTCCTCCCCGTCTACACCTGCTATTAGAGCCTCGTTCTTGTAGTTGGGGAATTCTCCTGTTTCCTCTCCATCTCCTAATAGCCTGGAGAGTACAGGGGAAGGACCCCAGGGCCCAGCCCCTGCCTCAGTGAATGGAGGTCTCCACTCTGGCTCATCTCGCCGCCACATCTCCCATTGCCTTTGACCTCAAAATAACCCTAGGCCCCTGGTTCTTCCTACCAGGTTGAAGAATCCATACAGATTAACATTTAAAGCACTTCTTAAGTGCCCTTATCTTATCAGTTTGTTAATCCCCCCCCCCCAAGCCCTGACCTAGTATGATTATTCCCATTTTATTCTCAGTCTCTGGGAGTAAGGGCTTGCCCAAGGTCACAGAGTCAGAGCTAGTATGAACCCGATAAAGCACTCTTGACAAACTATGCCATCAGCCCCTGCTGTGTTCTTGCAACTGTCCCTCCTCCCGCCTCAGCCTGGACTCTGTGGCTGGTCACTGTACACACACACACCCAGGACTCTAGAGACAACGTCAACCCCTCTACCTGCCCCTGCTCCTATTCCCCCCAGACCCAGGGGCCAGCAACCAGTCACCCTGTTATCCTTCTCCACTCTAAGGCTGCAAAACAGTCCTCAAGAAAGTCACCAAGGGTCTTCCCTGGTGGCACAGTGGTTAAGAATCTGCCTGCCAATGCAGGGGACACAGGTTCGAGCCCTGGTCCAGGAAGATCCCACATGCCGCGGATCAACTAAGCCTGTGCACCACAACTACTGAGCCTGCGCTCTAGAGCCCGCGAGCCACAACTACTGAAGCCCACGCTCTCTAGGGCCTGCGTGCCACAACTACTGAGTCCGCGTGCTGCAACTACTGAGGCCCGCCCTAGAGCCCGTGCTCTGCAACAAGAGAAGCCACCGCAATGAGAAGCCCGCGCACCGCAACAAAGAGCAGCCCCCGCTCGCTGCAACTAGAGAAAGCCTGCATGCAGCAGTGAAGACCCAAACGCAGCCAGAAAACAAAACCAAACAAACAAAACTCTGTCTCTGAAATTCAATTTGGCACTGGTGCACAGAGGGCGAGTTTTTGGCATCAAGGCTGAGGAAGAAGAGAGGCATCAATAGCAGGGACAAGGCTGAGGGTAAATAGGGGAACTGAGCAGAAGTCCCATGATGATAAAAAGGGTACCAGCCTCCAGCTCCACTGGGGAGCAGAGCAGCCTGAGCCGGGCAACTCACTGGCTTTGGGATCCCTCAGGGAAAAGGTACCTGACATTTGAGCATCCAGTAGTACTGGTTCTCAAAGTGTGATTGTAAGGTCGGATCTTAACAAACGGCACCTCGAAACAGAGGAAAGCTTCAAGTGAGCTTTATTAGGGAGCGCTCCCGGGTGAGGTTCACTGGTCCCAGAGAAAGAGGCCAGAGAAGTCGCACCCGGGCGAGGGTTGGGCAAGATTTTATAGCGGAAGAAGGGAAAGGGGTGTGGTGAATCTGGGAGGGCGCAGGGTATTCCTTATTTGGTGCTCTTTTCGGGTATCCTGGGGGACCGTTAGTCCCGCCCCTCAAAAGGTGGGAAGGCTGGGCCGGGTGCAAAGTCCCCAGGTCAGTTCCTGGAACTGGGTGGTCCGGAAAGTCTCCAGGTCAGTTTCTGGAACTGGGTGGTCCGGAAAGTCTCCAGGTCAGTTTCTGGAACTGGGTGGTCCGGAGAGTTTCGGTCTGATGTAACCTGTGAATCTGATTGTGTTCCCCTGCCTCGGGCCAGTTGGCCTTACAGTGATCAGTGGATCAACCACATCAGCATCATCTGGGAACTTGCTGGAAATGCAGGTCTTCAGGCCCCATCCCAGTCCTACTGAGCCAGAAACTCTGGGAGCAGGGCCCTATCCTCAATGTTTTAACAAGTCCCCAGGTGATTCTGATGCTCCAATCAATTTGCAATCTATTGCCCTAAAGGATTACCAGTCAACGAGCTCCTGCGCAGTTTTCCCCATTAGCTTCTTAGTGACTTACTCTTAAATAAGGAAGGATGGGGGCTTCCCTGGTGGCGCAGTGGTTGAGAGTCCGCCTGCCGATGCAGGGGACACGGGTTCGTGCCCCGGTCTGGGAAGATCCCACATGCCGCGGAGCAGGTGGGCCCGTGAGCCATGGCCGCTGAGCCTGCGTGCCCGGAGACTGTGCTCCGCAACGGGAGAGGCCACAACAGTGACAGGCCCACGTACCGCAAAAAAAAAAAAAAAAAAGAAAGGATGATCCAAGGTCACCAAATAGTAAAGAAAACCTCTCCAATTAAAAAGGGCCCAAAATAAGTTAAAAAAAATGGACCCCAGAGGACACAGATAATGTAGGGGACAGGAGAGAAAAAAGGAAACTCTGACTTGTATCCTCAAAACCACTTGAAAACTTCCCTGGCAGTCCAGTGGTTAAGACACTGCACTTCCAATGCAGGGGCCACGGGTGTGATCCCTGCTTAGGAAATTAAGAGCCCACATGCCATGCACGGCGTGGCCAAAAAAAACCGTTTGAGAATGTTTTGCAGTTTTATTTTCATAAAACAAATTCCAGGGCTTCCCTGGTAGCTCAGTGGTTAAGAATCCGCCTGCCAATGCAGGGCACATGGGTTCGAGCCCTGGTCCAGGAAGATCCCACATGCTGCGGAGCAGCTAAGCCTGTGCACCACAACTACTGAGCCTGCGCTCTGGAGCCTGAGAGCCACAACTACTGAGCCCACGTGCCACAACTACTGAAGCCTGTGCGCATACAGCCCGTGCTCTGCAACAAGAGAAGCCACCGCAATGAGAAGCCCGCGCACTGCAATGAAGAGTAGCCCCCGCTTGCCGCAACTAGAGAAAGCCCGCGCGTGCAGCAACGAAGACCCAACACAGCCAAAAAATAAATAAATAAAATAAAATTTTAAAAAATCCAAATGCTATCACGAAAAAAATGAAATCAGAGAAAAGGAAGAGTGGTATAATCGAATGTAACGTGGAACTTTTTTGCCTGGAATTTCAGCTAAGTCCCAAAGCTAGTAAGAATGGCTGATAACCTCACCTTCTAAAGAGAGGTGTTACCACATTCAGGAGAGGACTTATTAAAGAAATAATAATAATATAAAACAGCCCAGCAGCCACCTCCCTTAGCCACCGAGAAAGGCTGGAAATTTCCTGTTCATGGAAGTGAGAAGGCACTAAGCCTGGTGAAGGGCACTGCCTTAGAGAAAGGGAGCCTGTCCTTCCATCCTCTGGCTGGAGCTTGCTGAAACTTGTGGGCTTGCCATGGTACCTGTACTCTAGACAGAAGAGTTTCTGGTAGAGTCCTTGTGTGTCTCCTGAATTTGGAGGACTTACACAAACCCAGAGACTGGGGTCCCTTCTCCCTCTGGGTATGGTCATGCAGGAGGTTGGTGTGAGCAGCCCACAGTGGCAGCCTGCAGGGTGGGGGCCAATGAGTTTTTAGCCAAGTGGACCCTGATGTCTTGAAGGCACCCCGTGTGCTAGGGCGAGAAGACCTCTGCAGAAAGAGGCTATGGGGTGAACTGCTAGGGACAGGAGCTGGAGGAAGTCACAAAGACAGTGCCTGGAGCATTTGGAAATGCCAACACTCTGAAGACCCACAGATGGGCTCCTGGGGCGTTTGAACATCTGCCCTACGGAGGACACTGACCATTGATGACACATCTTTTGTCATTTTTCTCTGATGCTGGGAACCTGGAATATCAGAGCAGGGAGACAGAGGAGGAAAGCAAAGGTCAGAACAGACTAGGCTGAGCTACCTAGCCACCAGGGAGAAGGTGTGAACTGGACATAAGACCAAGTTTTAAATGGGGACATGACTGGATTTTTTAATGACTGCCAGTGAAGCTTAATGATCAAAATGAGACTTTTTCTTACAACCAAGAATGATGGGAAAGAGACACAACCTGCCCAAGATATTGTCAAGTGTCAGGCGAGGGACAGCTGACAGGACATGTCTGCAGGTGGTGGTTGAAGAAAAATTGTGCCCCATTCAATAAGCTGTCTACTCATAGAATGTAGAACTATGTAGACATTGGCTGGAAGAAAGCCCTAAGGGAGATCAGTGTGATGGCTTCTGGGAAAGGATCTGAGGGCTGAGGGGAGCTGAAATTGTTGACTTGTTTTCCATCACAAACCTTTTGATACTACTTAATTTTTAACCATAGGCATCAATTGCATTAATTACATTTTTAAAAATGTTTTAAGATCAAGTCATGAGGGGGTGGTGGTGGGATGAATTGGGAGATTGGGACTGACATAGATACACGAATATGTATAAAATAGTACTTCACTTTGCTGTACAGTAGAAACTAACACAACATTGTAAAACAACTATACCTCCCCCCCAACACCAAAAAAAAATAGATCAAGTCATGCAACCCTCTTTCCCAGCTACATGCCATGCTACCTGGCATCAACTGGGTCCAGGTCCTCACACTCATTAGGGGTATCTCAACGACTGTTAAAGCTGGTCTCCAGCTTCTGCACAATTTGGAAGGTCTCCAAGCCACCTATGTGCTCTCACTTTTAACTGGTAACCCCAATTCTTACAATCCATATTGTGTACGGTGCAGTGGTTAAAATGCAGGGGCTTTGGAGCCAGACAGGCTGAGTCAAATCCCAGGTCTCCCACTTTTTAGCTGTGTGACCTTGGGCAAGTTATTCTGACCCTCTGAAGCCTCTTCCCTCACCCCTCCCTCCAGCCTCTGGGACATGAGACTCACGCCCATCTTGTCAAGATAACATGTGATCATGTCAAGGTTCAGTGTGATCATTTCTTCACCCAGAGCTGCCTAACCCTTAACAAGGTGATTTCCGCTGGCTCTCTCTCACCTCCCTATCTGCCTTCTCTTCCGTTCCTCTCCTTTTTTTTTGCGGTACGCGGGCCTCTCACTGTTGTGGCCTCTCCCGTTGCAGAGCACAGGCTCCGGACGCGCAGGCTCAGCGGCCATGGCTCACGGGCCCAGCCGCTCCACGGCATGTGGGATCTTCCCGGGCCGGGGCACGAACCCGTGTCCCCTGCATCGGCAGGTGGACTCTCAACCACTGCGCCACCAGGGAAGCCCCGTTCCTCTCCTTTTGCCACCTGCCCATAGTAAGCAGTGCCATCTTGCTCTTGTGCCCAGTCCCTCCTCATTACTCCTCCAAGTTTTGCTCCATCAGTTGTCCCTTCGTAGCTTCAGTCTTTCAGGTCTGTGACTCCCCTACAATTAAAAACATCAGAGACCCTTCCCTGACTCTGCCTTAGCTGCCCACAGACGTCCTCACTTTCCCCCTGCCTGCCTCAGCCCAACACTGGGAAAGTGTCACCTCCTGGATGGATATATTTTTTCAGTTCCTCCTCACTCCTCAACCTCCTGCCACTCTGCGGAAGCCACGTCAAGGTCACTAAGGCCAACAGACCCTTCTCCAGCCTCACCTTTCTTGCCGTCAACCCTGACCATTCCCTTGTCCTCGAACTCTTGCCTTTCAACACCTTTCCTTCTGGTTTTCTGACCACCTCTCTGACATCTCTTTGAGGATATCCTCTGATGGGGTTAATGCTGGGGTTCCAGAGACTCTGCCCTTGGCTCCCCATACACTTCCTCCCAGGGAAAATCCCACCCACTCCAGCCCTTCAAGGACCCTCCACACCCCTCAACCTCCAGCCCAACAGACCCACCCCTGTGCATGCCCTGTATTCGTTTGCTCACCAGATATAAGAGATGAAGGGGAACACAGGTGCCCCACTCACCAGAAACAGCAGCCGCCAGTGGGGAAGGCTGTAGGCAAGTCCTGTCAGGAACATGACCCCCATAGCGAAAAAGCAGTGTCCCAGTATGATGGCGTGGGCCTGGTGCATGCCCACTAGCCACTCAGTGTGCAGAGGCCAAGAGGACAAGATCATAATCAGCTCAGGGTACCCAGGGCTGCCCCTGCCCCCAGCCTTCTGAGATGCCCCAGCCCTGCTCAGGATCCGGGTCCAGAGACAGCACTTCAAAGCCAGGCATAGTGCCTCTGCGCCCCCAGGGCACACTTGCCTGGGCTCCAAACCACAGACATAGCCTCCAGTCTGTCATCAACTTGGCTGTTCCCTTGGAACACCTCCCCCTGACCACACGCCTGTCATTGAGAAGCTCTGGCCCTGGGTACAGCACCTCACATGTGGCCTGACACAGGCAAGGCGAGATATCACTGTCCTTGTCTTGGTTCTTAGTGTATCAGTGCTTTGGCCACCTAGACCCCGGCCTTTGTGGAGGACCCAGTTCCCTCTGGCTGGGCTCTGAAAATTTCCCAATGAGAAACGGGAGCAGGGTTCCCCAGCAGGTTCCTGTGAGGCTGAATAAATGTACGGGCACTTGGGAATTTTGCATCACACAGGCCTGGGGTGGAATCCCAGTTCCTTCACTGAACTGCCGTGTGACCCTGAGTAAGTTGGTTAACTTCCTGAGGCTCAAGTATCCTCCTGAGCTAAAGGAATAATAGATTAGTGCCTACCGAACAGACAGTTGCCAGGATGAAAGGAGGCAACACATATAGAGGGCTTAGCAGCTACCTGGCCCAGGTGTGGGAAGCAAGGGGTATGAAGGGGGGATGTGTGGGGTACCAGGGGGATGACAGTGCAAGGGCAGTGTGGGCACAGATTCTCTGCCATCTCTAGGCCTCCACAGCCTGCCTGACTGGGCCACAACTCCCCCTGTCCTGCGGGCTCCCAGTAGGTACACGCCCGCCCCGCCCGCCCCCGCCCCCGCCCCCCCACCTCACTTAAAGACGCGCTGCTGATGGCGTAGCCCACCGCAGCTTGGGACACGCCAAAGCGGAAGAACAGATATTGGTGAAAGCTGTTGACAAAGGCTGTCCCGAAGCCGAAGATGATCAGTCCCAGCAGCGACAGCAGGATGCTTGGGTGGTGGCCCAGCCTGCGCGCGTGGAAGGGAGGGGAGACTGCGCCAAGTGCATGGACCTATGTGGCTGGCCCCAGCCCGCTCCCAGCACCAAGACCAGGCCCCGAGCCGTACACTCGCCTCCGGAGGGCCCCTACCCTTGCCTCCCCTAAAATGAGACCCTTCAGCTCTGAATGGCCACAAGGAGGAGGCAGGGGTGTCCCGGGGACCAGAGGGAACTCTGGAAGACTTACTTGTCAGTTATGAACCCGAAGAGGAAAGACCCTGTCAAGAGTCCCGCCAAGTACATGTTCTGCACGATTTCCGGGTTCGGTTCCTTGCCACACACCAAGTCAAACTGGGGGTTATATGCAGGGATTGGCCACAGGCCTCCATCCAGGGCCTTCTAGGTTGAGACTGAGCCTCCACCCAGGGTGGGCCTTTAGGCAGAAGGGGCCTGGGACAGGGGCAGGTAACTGTGTGCAGCATGCCTCAGCTCTGTTACCTCTGCATCCCATCCTGCATCTGGCAGACTCTAGGAGTTAGACCTGGAGAGAGGGACCAGAGACACAGGCCAAGAAGGGGGCTGGGTGAAGAGGTAACCGAGCAAAGGCTAGAATCACCCAAGACCCTTTTCCAAGTACAGATGCTAGGCCTCACCCTAGAGAATCAAACTGGGCAGGTCTGTGCTGTGAAGGGCCCAGGTAGCAGCTTAGGCTGAGAAACTCCATAAGAGGTACCAGATCAAAGATGCTTCTTTCCCCAGTTCCCTAATTTCTGTGATTTCAGATGGCAGAGCCACAACTACAGAAGCAATTCCCTGGGCAGGTGGCAAACCCTGCCACCTGACATCTTCCCCTAGTCCCCAATCTACTCTAGCTTCCTGGCTAAGACCTGTAAGACCAGGGCTGGGCAGCAGGAATCCTGTTTCTGCCTTGGCCCTGCCTCTGCGGGTTGACCTTGGGCCAATTGCTTCCCTTCCCTGAGCCTCAGTTTCCCCACCTGTTCAGTGAGGGTGAGGGCAAATCTCTGGGGTCCTGGGTTAGCTACAGACAACTCTGGACAAGGCATACCTCATTGATCAGTGATCGCTTCTTGACCTCAGGATAGATCCACCCATCTTGACATGAGTCTCTGCGGTTGAGCCCAAAATGGATGATAGAATCCAGAATCCAGTCCACAGGCAAGTACATGAGGCAAGTCAGGAAACTGCCATTGGGTGCTCGGGGCAGGGTCAGATTCAGCCGCTCAGACTCTGTCAGGTTGGGGCCCACTGCCAGTATCCAGCTGGTGTTGCAATAGGGCTTCTGTGGTGTGAACATGAAGATGTCAGCAAACAATAAGAAGGTAGACAGGATGTTGGGAATGAAGGTGAGGGCCACCAGCCTCCACTGGAATGTGCCAAACTCCCCTACTGCATCCATGATGGTGGCAAACTTATCATCTTGCTTGGCTTCTATGGCCCTCAATCTGCGTAATAGCATGTCCAGAGAACAGGAACGGGGGCTTTCTGCTGCCCCATGTTGGTGGAAGCTCCTGAGATGATGCTGGGATTTGAACTCTACCTTGAAGTTGTTTTCCTTTGCCATCTGTTCAAAGAGAGGATGCAGCTCAGTCTTCACTGACACCACTTCTCAGATATCATAGGCCAGCGTGGGAGGCACTGGCCAGAAACTGGCTTGAAACAGTTTGGATCCCAACCTTGATGTTCTCTGTACTTCCCTCCTTTGCTTCTGAAATTTCTTAATTTGTCCCCCATTGGCCCACCCATCCCTGATGTGTATAGAGCACTTAAGATTTTTTAATGTTTTAGAAAACACTCTGCTTCTGTTATCATGAATGACTAAATTCTGAGGAGCTCTCCTGCAACTTCCCCACAATGGAAACTTTGTTTACACACACACTGAGGTACCACCAGTCTTGCAAAAGGTAGGAGAGGTCTCCAGGGACCATTCCTTAAAAAAAAAAAAAACAGGGACTTCCCTGGTGGTGAAGTGGTTAAGAATCCGCCTGCCAATGCAGGCGACACGAGTTCGAGCCCTGGTCTGGGAAGATCCCACATGCCGTGGAACAGCTAAGTCCGTGCGCCACAACCACTGAAGCCCGTGCGCCTAGAGCCCGTGCTCCGCAACAAGAGAAGCCACTGCAGTGAGAAGCCCACGCACCGCAATGAAGAGTAGCCCCTGCTCGCTGCAACTAGATAAAGCCCATGCACAGCAACGAAGACCCAATGCAGCCAAAAATAAATAAATAAATTAAAAAACCAACACACACACACACACACAAATCTGGCTCTGAAATGGCCATGAACTGAGGCCAAGGTGGGTGGCTGCAAGCCTTGATCACAGAGATGAGAAGACAGGGCTGGTGCCATGGGGCACCAAAATGGTAGGGTGACAGACAGCAACAGAGAGCGAAGCTGGAATGGCAGGCGGAGGGGAGGAGTGAGGTAGCAACACTGACTGTAAGGATATTACCTTGGAACAGCAGCAAAGTGGGGAAACTAAGCGGGGCTGAAGAGGTCCTGGGTTGGGGCACCCCTTGGCTACCAGCAAAAGCAGATGCAGGTCTTCTCTGAAGGAAAATTTCTCCAAACTAAGCTTGCAAGGCTCTCACAGATTAAGATCAAGCCAAGGGCTCAAAGCAAATATTATCTAACCCATAAGAAGTTAAGTCATTCTGAGAGTAAGAGATGGAAGTTATAATTACAGAAATGGACTTATAACCAGAGGCAAAAAGCAGACACCTTTGGAGGGAAGACACAACTTCTAAAAACAAAAACTATTGAATAACAACTTGTTGAAATAAACACACTAAAGGGAAGGTTAAATAGATTCGACACAAAGATGAATTAGAAGATAGAAGATTTAACGTTCATCTAGTTGCAGGCCCAGTGGGAGAAAGAGAGAAGTGATATTTAAGGAGATAAGAGCAATCTATTTTCTAAAATTTGAAAAACATGAATCCTTAGAATCAGGAAACAGTGTATCCCAAGCAGGATAAATAAAAGAGAAACCCACTGTAACAAAGCTGCAGAACACCAGTGACAAAGAAAAGATTTTCAAAAACATCTAGAGAGAAGATAGATCATGGACAAATGAGCCGTGTCTACAGACTTCTGTTAAGAAACAAAAGTTGTGGACAACATATTTGGAGGAATTTTATCTTAAAACTGACCAAACCCATACTTGTAAGATAAAACACCTGAATCATTGAGGATCCAAGTTGTGATCTGAAGTCTATGACATTTTCATAAGGGTAAAATGTTACCACTACTTTAATTACTGTTATAAATAGCTTTATAATGTTGAAGACTCATTGTCTAACTCTAAGACTTTTTTTTTTTGCGGTACGCGGGCCTCTCACTGTTGTGGCCTCTCCTGTTGCGGAGCACAGGCTCCGGACGCACAGGCCCAGCAGCCATGGCTCACGGGCCCAGCCGCTCCGCGGCACGTGGGATCCTCGCGGACCGGGGCACGAACCCGTGTCCCCTGCATCGGCAGGCGGACTCTCAACCACTGCGCCACCAGGGAAGCCCTAACTCTACGACTTTAAAATTTTCTTTTTCTTTTCTTTTTTTAAAGAAATAACCAAAAGTTGTTAAGCAACAAGGAAACCAGAAGAGAGTGAAGAGTATCTTCAACATGTTGATAGGAAATAACAGCCAACCTAGAATTGCTTACTCAGCAAAATTATCTGTCAATTAGAGTAAAATGAAGGGAGTTATAGTCAAAAATTGAGTTAGCAACAGATGTGATTTAATGGAACTTCTAAAAGTTAAGGAGGGGGATGCTCCAAATAAAATAAAATAAAATGTATATGAAAATGCAAAATCCTAAAATAATACAAAATTCAAACAATTAAGAATGGTTTTGGTGGGAATTCCCTGGCAGCCTAGTGGTTAGGACTCTGAGCTTTCACTGCCAGGGGCCCGGGTTCAGTCCCTGGTTGGGGTACTAAGATCCCACAAGCCTCGCAGCATGGCAAAAAAAAAAAAAAAAAAAAAAAAAAGTTTTGGAGCAAAAAAAAAAGGGAAAGTGAAAAAAAGAGTTCAGAAACTGGATAAAAGAGGAACTCATCAATAAATGGGTCTGGAACCATTGGGGGAAAAAAAGAGGATAAAAAGGAGGAAAATTATGTCAAGACGACAAACTGATAGGCAGTGATGAGCAATCTAAATGGTAAACATGTAAGCAAATCCAAATATTGATTGCATTAAATAATAAAAGCTCTGTTCAATTGTGGAGTTAAAAAAAAAAGATAAAATGGTGGGCAGCAATAATATATTTCAGGATGGAGATGATGAGAGCCGAAGTATCTTAAAATCTTTCTATTGTTCAAGGTGTAGGAGAAAGACACCAAGATTTCAAAGTTACTTTTATCGTTTTGTTTTTTTTTTTGGCCACACCACGCAGCCTGGCTTGCAGGATCTTAGTTCCCTGACCAAGGATCGAACCCATGCTCCCTGCAGTGGAAGCACGAAGTCTTAACCACTGGACCACGAGGGACGTCCCTCAAAGTTACATTTGCATGATAAAATTTTAAGGATAACCACTACAATAATATAGCTAGAAAACAGCAATGGAAAAAGGTAGGCTAAAGAGAAAAACAAAAACAAGACCTCAATCGAAAAAGTGAAGAAAAGAAAAAAGGAAACGTAGAAAAAGTGGATTTCAGTAATTGTGACTGGAAAAATGAATCAAAGTATATTGATTATCACTAGTTAAAAGAGATAGTTAGATTGAGCTTTTGAAAAGTCAAATTAACATGCTGTTTTTAAATAGGGCAGCCGGGACTTCCCTGGTGGTACAGTGGTTAAGACTCTGCACTCCCAATGCATGGGGCCCAGGTCCCATCCCTGGTCAGGGAACTAGAGCCTGCATGCTGCAACTAAAAGAGCCCGCATGCCACAATTAAGACCTGGCACAGCCAAATAAATAAATAAATATTTAAAAATAAATAAACAGGGTGGCCAGTATTTCCCAGAACATACCCAGTTTATGTCTTTTATGCTTGTGTAATTATTCATAGTGCCCCCTTTCCCTCTCACAAGTGTTTTGATTTTGATGACAACTTGGTCACTCTGTAAGAAGGCACACTTAAAGCATAGGGACATGAAAAGGCTGAGAGTTAAAGGATGGAAAAAGTTATATTAGGCAAACAGTAATCAAAAGAAATCTGATTTAGCTATACTATTACCAAAACAAAACAAAAACCCATAAAGTATCATTAATAGAGAGATTCATTATCTAAAGACAAAAGGTTCAGTACACCAAAAAATTAAATATATATGAACCTAATAAATGTCTTCAAATACATAAAACAATAATGAGTATAACTCATAGGAGAAGTTGATAGCTCTAATACCATAATGAGAAATTTCAATGCACCTTTTCAAGGGGTCAAAATGTGAAAACTTAGCAAAGATAGATTATTTTAATAACACAATTAACAAGACTAAACTAATGACCATTTCTAAAATTCTGCATGTAACAACTAGAGAATACACATTTTTCTCAAGCCTACTCAGAGCATTTGCAAAACTTTATCATACACTAGGCAATAAAGCAAGCCTCGACAGAAATTTTCTTTTTTTCTTTTTGGCCACACTGCACGGCATATGGGATCTTAGTACCCCAACCAGGGATTGAACCCACACCCCGTGCATTGGAAGCAGGGAGTCTGAACCACTGTACCGCCAGGGAAGTTCTCACGACAAATTTCAAAGAATAGGCATCATATAGACCTGTCTTCTGACTACAGTGAGATTAAATTAGAAGTCACTAACAGCTTAATAATTTAAAATTCCATATGTTTTTCATACATGTGTAATACAGTTACATTCATTTATCACAGTCTGCATTCCACCCTCTATCTCCCTCTATCTCCTAAATGATTTTTTTAAAAAATTTGTACATGGTAAGGTCCACTCTATGGGCTGTAAAGTCCTGTGGGTTTTGACGAATGCGTGGAGTCGTGTATCCACCATTAGAGTATCAGACAGAAGCCTCACTGCCCTAAAAAATCTGTGCTCCACCTATTAAACCCTCCTCTCTCTTCTCAACCGGACGCGCAGGTTCAGCAGCCATGGCTCATGGGCCCAGCTGCTCCGCGGCATGTGGGATCTGCCCGGACCGGGGCACGAACCCGTGTCCCCTGCATCGGCAGGCGAACTCTCAACCACTGCACCACCAGGGAAGCCCAACCCCTGATCTTTTTTACACTATATCTTGCTTTTTCTGGAGTGTCATATACCTCTTTTCATACTGCTGATTTTTGGTACGCGGGCCTCTCACTGCTGTGGCCTCTCCTGTTGCGGAGCACAGGCTCCGGACGCGCAGGCCCAGCGGCCACGGCTCACGGGCCCAGCCGCTCCGCGGCATGTGGGATCCTCCCGGACCGGGGCACGAACCCGTGTCCCCTGCATCGGCAGGCGGACTCTCAACCACTGCGCCACCAGGGAAGCCCGGAGTGTCATATACCTTTATCATACACCATATAGCCTTTTCAGACAGGCTTCTTTCACTCAGCAGTATGCACTTAAGGCCATTCATATCTTTTCATGGCCTAATAGCTTGTTTCTCAAAAATCACAGAATAATATTTTTCAATGTATCCACGTACTACAGTTTGTTTATCCATTCATCAATTATTGAAGGACATCTTGGTTGCTTCCAGTGTTTGGCAGCTGTGAATAAAGCTGCTATAAACATTTGCGTGCAGGTTTTTGTGTGGATACAGTTTTCAAATCAGTTGGGTAATAGCTAGGAACACGAATGTTGAGTCATATGGTAAAACTATGTTTAGCTTTGTAAGAAACTGGAAACTGTCTTCCAAAGTGGCTATACCATTTTGCACTCCCACCAGCAATGAATGAGAATTCTTGTTGTCCTGCATCCTTGCCAATTTATTTGATTTTAGCCATAATAATAGATGAGTTCTTTTATTTAGTTTTTCGTTCTTTTAAGTTGCACTTCCCTAATGACAAATAATGTTGAGCATCTTTTCATATGCTTATTTGCTATCTGTATATCTTCTTTGGTGAGTTATCTCTTCAGATCTTTTGCCTGTTTTTTAAATTGGGATGTTTACCTTCTTACTGTTGAGTTTTGAGTTATTTGTATATTTTGGATACAAGTCTTTTATCAGTTATGTTTTGCAAATATTTTCTCCAGTCTCTGGCTTGCCCTTTTATTCTCTTAACAGCATCTTTTGCAGAGAAGTTTTTTATTTTAGTGAAGTCCAATTTGGGACTTCCTTGGTGGTCCAGCGGTAAAGAATCCGCCTTACAATGCAGGGGACACGAGTTTGATCCCTGGTCAGGGGAACTAAGATCTCACATGCCGCGGGGCAACTAAGCCCGCGTGCCGCAACTACTGAGCCTGCGTGCCGCAAACTAGAGCCAACGCACCCTGGAGCCTGCGCGCCACAACTAGAGAGAGAAAACCTGCACACCACGGCTAGAGAGAAGACTGTGCACCACAACAAAAAGCCCACGTGCCGCAACTAAGACCTGACGCAGCCAAAAATAAACAAAATAAATAATAAATAAATCTTTAAAAAAAAGTCCAATTTATCAATTTTTTTCTTTCATAGATTTTGCTTTTGGTGTCGTATCTAAAAATTCATTGTCAAACCCAAGGTCACTTAGATTTTCTCCTATGTTGTCTTCTAGAAGTTTTATATAGTTTTGTGTTTTACATTTAGGTCTATGATCCATTTTGAGTTAATTTTTGTAAAGGGTGTAAGATCTGGGTTTACATTTTTTTTTACATTAAATTTTTGCACATGGTCATCCAATTATTCCAGTACCATTGTTGAAAAGACTATCCTTTCTCCATTGAATTGCCTTTGCTTCTTTGCAGTTGATCATATTTATGTGGGTCTATTTCTGAACTTTCTATTTTGTTCCATGGTTCTATGTGTCTATCCTTTTGCCAATACCATGCTATTTTGATTATGGAAGACTTTATAGGAAGTCTTAAAATCACGTAGTGTGAAGCCTCCAGCTTTGTTTTTCTTCACTACTGTGTTGGATATCCAGGTCTTCTGCGTTTCCATTTGAACTTTAGAATAAGTTTGTTGATATTTGCAAAACAGCTTGCTGTGTTTTTGATTGAGATTATATTGAATCTATAGGTCAGTTTGGGAAGCGTTGACATCTTACCAACAATATTGAGTCTTTCAATCCATGAACATGGAATATACATATATTTTTTCTAAAGTTTATTAAGTTTTATAAATATATATTTTTAAGTTAATAAAACTTGTGACTATCTCAGAAGTCAGAGAAGAGATCATAATGAAAATTTTAAAATATTTATAAATGAGTGATAATATAAATGCTTATAAGTGAAAACTATAAAAACTTATACCACCCATATCAAACCTATGGGTGGTATAAAAAGTGGTACTCTGTGGGAAATTTATAGTGTTACCTGCTTTATAATAGAAAATCAGAAAGATTGAAAATTAATAAACTAAATGCCCATCATAGGAAGTGAAAAAAGAACAAAATAATATAAACCTAAATAAATAAAGAGATTATAAAGTTAAGACAGAAATAAAGGAAACAGGAAACAATAATAGCAAGACATGGAAACAACATTAAGTGTCCATCAACGGATGAATGAATAGAGAAAATGTGGTATATATTTATATATACAATGAAATACTATTTAGCCACAAGAAAAAACGGAAATCCTGCCATTTGTGACAACATGGGTGGATCTTGGGAGCATTATGCTAGTGAACAGACAGAGAAGGACAAATACTGTATGGTATCACTTATATGTGGAATTTTTTTTTTTAACTCAAAACTAGTGGAAACAGAAAGTTTAAGTGGTTTCCAAGGGCTGTGGGTGGGGAAATAGGAAGAGGTTGGTAAAAGGGTAATTACTTTCAACTATAAGAGGAATAAGGTCTGAGGATATAATGTAAAAACATGGTGACTATAGTTGATAACACTATATTGTATAATTGAAATTTGCTAAGACAGTAGAACATAAGTTTCTCACACACACACACAAAAAAAGATAAATATGTGAGGTGATAGATGTGTGAATTAACTAGATGAAGGGAGTCCTTTTGTAATATATATGTATCTCAAAGAACCACAATGTACACTTTGAATATCTTACAATTTTGTATGTCAATTTCACATTTAGCTTTGCTAAATTTTTTTTAATGTTTCAAATGATCAATTTTATATTAGGTATATTTTACCACAATAAAAAATGTTTTAAAAATATGTGCAAGGGTATTCCCTGGAGGTCCAGTGGTTAGGATTCGGCACCTTCACTGCTGTGGGCTGGGTTTCAATCCCTGGTCAGGGAACTAAGATCCCACAAGCCACGCAGCAGGGCAAAAAAAAAAAAAAAAAAAAAAAAAAGTGCAAGACCTGTGTGTAAAATAATTATAAAACTTACAGAAATATGTTAAAAAGAAAAATTAATGGAGAGATATCTAATAGTCATGAATAAAAGTTGTCAATTTTTCCCCATGTTGATCTGTAGATTCAGTACAAATCCAGTCAAAATCCAAAAGGTATTTTTTTGTGAAATTTGTCAAGATAACTCTAAAATTACTATGGAAGAACAAAGGGCATGAATACCTAAGACAATTCTGAAGAATAATAAGGAGGAATGATTTGTCCTGTCAAACATCAGAATCTATTATAAAGTTATATTCATTAAAGACAAGGTAGTCTCAGTGCAGGAATAGCTAAATAGCCCAGAAATAGATTTATGCAAACAATTTTAAAAAACATTTATTTTATTTTATTTATTTTGGTTGCACCAGGTCTTAGTTGCAGCACATGGGATCTTCAGTTGCGGCATGCAGGCTTCTTAGTTGTGGCATGCGGACTCTTAGTTGTGGCACGCATGAGGGATCTAGTTCCCCGACCAGGGCTCAAACCCGGACCCCCTGCACTGGGAGCATGGAGTCTTACCCACTGGACCACCAGGAAAGTCCCAAACAAATCTGGATATATGAGAGACAGACTTGCATGACAGGTCAGTAAATGGAAAAAAATTAACATTGGTTCCTGTCTCACACCATAAACAAAAATTTCAGCCCTATTAAGGACCTAAATTTAAAGAACAAAACTTTTGTTAGAAAAAAAATATATATATATATATTTTTTCCCCCGACCAGGGATTGAACCCGTGTCCCCTGCATTGGAAGTTGGATTCTTTACCACTGGACCACCAGGGAAGTCCCTGTCCCAGCCTTTTTTCAATTTTATATTTGTATGCTCTTATATACTTTCATATACTTTTATATACTCTTATATACTTTTTATTTGATGTACAGTAAAATACACCCTTTGTTGTGTACAGTGCTGTGGGTTTTGACAAAGGTATAGAATTGTATATCTAGCACCAAAATCATGATGTGGAGGGGTTCCATTATCCCTAAAATCCCCTTGTGTTTCTCCTCCTTCTACTCCACAATATCTTGCAATCACTGTTTCTATAGTTTTGCCTTTTACAAAATGTCATTTAAATGGAATCAAACATTACTTAGCATCTAGGGTCTAGTTCCTTTTACTGGAATATATTTTTGGCTTTACGTGAAAAATGATTTCTTTTTTCTTTTTCTTTCACTTTAAGCAAAGTCTTTCTTTTCAAGGAACATTTTCTCATTCTCTGTTCTTGGCATACATTTTAAACTCTTACCAGTAGAACCAAAGCCTCCTGAAACCCTTACAGTGTCATCTAAAACTTGAACTTCCTCTATTTCTGGGTAAAAAAAATCTGTTCACAAATGAGCTGTGCAATTTTATCACACTTTTTACTTCAAACTTTGCCACAATTAAATAGTACAATACCAACATTTCCTCTACAATCTTCATCTATGACACCAGCTTCTACATCTATGAAATGTTTTGCAGCCAAGCTAGAACATGGAGCTACTCTCCCATAGCACCCAGAAGGAAGAGGTACCTGAATGTTGGTTTTCACAAGGGCTTTCTCCATAGGTGGTACTGTGCAATCACAGGCAGTGTACAGGTCAGAGCCTGCGGTGCATGTAGTCCCCTTGGTCTGGGCGGTGGTGTGCTCCGAGAGCTGGGCAAAGTGGAGCGGTATGCCGCCCTCCTCTGCAAGCTGGGCCACCTTGCTGGGGGAGACGACTTGTTTGCTGAGAGCAGGGCATGGCAGGGCAGAATGTGAGCACGAGAGGGAGCAGGGTGAACCAAAAAAGGATTTCTTAATCAGGACACAAAAGCTATGCTATTCTATGCTAACCATAAAATAGGGCTTCCCTGGCGGCTCAGTGATTAAGAACCTGCCTGCCAATGTGAGGGACACGGGTTCGAGCCCTGGTCTGGGAAGATCCCACATGCCGCGGAGCAACTAAGCCCGTGCACCACAACTACTGAGCCCACGCTCTAGAGCCCGAGAGCCACAACTACTGAAGCCCGCGTGCCACAACTACTGAAGCCTGCGCGCCTAGAGCCCGTGCTCCGCAACAAGAGAGGCCACTGCAATGAGAAGCCTGCGCACCACAAGGAGTAGCCCCTGCTCGCCGCAACTAGAGAAAGCCCGCACACAGCAACGAAGACCCAGCACAGCCAAAAAATAAATAAACAAATGAATTAAAAAAAAAATTTTAATTATAAATTTGACTACTCAAAAATGAAAATCATAGAGTTAAAATAAACACAACTGGGAGAATATATTGAAAAACTTGTATTACTGGGGAGAAAAAGGATCAAGAATATGTAAAGAAGCCACAGATCAATAATAAAAAGACAACAGAAAAATGACAAAAGACATGAATGGGCATTGCAAGAAGAGGAAATTTAAACAAACATACGAAGAGATGTTCAACCTCTTTAATAATGAGGGAAATGCAAATCAAGACCATAATTTACACTCATTTGCTTAAGAAAACTTAAGAAATCTGACAATACCCAGTATCTATCTTTTATACATTTCTGGCAGGATTATTCATAGTTCCACTTTGGAAAACAATTTGGCATTGTCTTATAGAGCTGAATGTCCCCACACATTATGACCCAGCAATTCTACTCCCAGTTACATACTCTGGGCAAACATTTGTACATATGATCCAAGAAGAGTACCAAAACATTCACGACAACACACCTCAAATGTGAAGAAAAAAAAAAAAAAAAAAAGAGCCCAAATGCTCCTTCAGCAGAGGAATGGATAAACTGCGGTGTATTTATCTAGTGGAATGCAATACAGCAATGAAAATGCATAAATTTCAGTTACATCTCTTAAGACTTGACCAGCCGTTGCTGGCTTTGAAGATACAAGGAACTGTGAGCCTTTGGAGGCTGGAACAGGCAAGGAAATAAATTCCCCTACGACAGCTGATTTTAGCTTAGTGAGACCCATTTTGGCCTTCTGACCTGCAGGACTATAAGATAATAAATCTGTGTGGCTTAAAGCCGCTAAGTTTGTGACAATATGTTACAACAGCAACAGAAAACTAGTACAGTGTGCATGTGTGTAAGTTTGGAGGGGGTGTCACAGGACAGAAGAGACTTCCCAGGCAGAGAGGGAGAGAGAGAGGGAAGGAAGAAGGGAGGGAGGGAGAGAGGGAAGGAGGGAACCTTTGCTTTGCTCAGAGAGATTTGGCTTTTGGGCCTGGAGCCAGCTTCCCGGGCAGGGTCCCCTTCAGTGTCCCCCACAGCATCACCTGAATACCCACAGGGGCCTGACAGTCTGCAAGGCCCTGGAGCACTTGTTCCCAAAGGTCCCCTGCCAGGTGGACAGGCCCCAGGCAATTGGTTCTCAATGTAAAAAGTGGAAACTAAGGCCTGGGACAGGAAGGTATAACCCGGAGCAGCCCCCCTTCTGAGGGCAGGAAATGGCCAGATGCCACACCTGAGAACTCACGCTTCCCGGGAGGACAGCCCGCTCCTTCCACAGACTCCCCACAGCCGAACAGGCCCTGTCCACATCTGCGCTGAGAATGCGGCCACACAGTTGCCAGGTGTCATCATAATTGCCACCCTCCACACCCTCCCAGTCCCTCCTCCCTGGAGACAGGACCACAAGCCAGGCCCAGCCAGACCCTTGGAAGCAGAACCCTTGGGTTCCACGGTATCTGGGGAGCAGTGTCACAATGGGGCGGGGAGGTCCTGGGGTGGGGTGGCATGGGGAGGAACAGCATTCCATTCCTGGGGCACAGCTGGCCACAGGCTCTAGGAACTGAAGGCGCAAGGCAGGCTGGGAAAATCTCCACGTGAGCCAGCCCCATTTCTCCGTGCAGACTGTTCCCAGCACCTGGAGCACCCGCCTCCCCATCAGGGCTCCACCTCCACTGAGGGAAATCCTCCCATCCTTCCACACACAACTTGGCTGCCCCTGTCCCCATGCCTGAGGAGGAGGGATGGAGAGGAGAGTAAGAGGAGGAACAGGCTCTCCACTCAGCAGCTCCCAGATCCCACCCGGGTGAGGAGGGAGTGTAGGTTAAAGACTTCTTGGTGGGAAGTCTGGGGAGCGGCAGTAGGATGGCTTTTCCTGTCTCTCAGAGGAGGAGGAGAAGCTACCTGGTAGGGGGTAGAAGGATGGGAGGCAGGCAGAGCGGAGTTTAGAAATAGCCACTGGTGAGAGTTGGAAAACGAGCTGACTTGAAAAGCTGGTAGGAATACGAGGTGTTGCTAAAGACCCAGTTGGTGTTGGTGACCATGGATTCATAGATCAGACTTGTTGGGAGTGTGACTCTTTCCAGCAGTGACCAGCAGTTGGGGTGCAGGAAGAGAGAAAGCAGACAGTCGGGCTCATGTGTTGCTATGGTCTTGCTAGCTGGATTCTTCTGTAAGAGGCTACGTGGGGATCCCCACGGGGCGGGGCGGGGGGGGGCGGCCAAGAGGTGAAGAGGGGTCCCAAGGGGTCAGTTGCAGGCACATTGCTCATACTAAGGACCAACGCAGAGGTCCTGGGATGATCGCTGAGAACCCCCGAAAATTCTCGTGGAAGACCTACTTTTAGGAGCCTGCCAGGGCCACTGACTGATGACTAACCACTGCAAGCCCGGAGAACTACCACCAGCGGCCACCAGGTAAGAAGACTTCTTCCCCTTTCCCTCACCCTGCGTGGGCCCTGAAGGAGCCAGAGAAGCAGAGCATGAAGGGGAGGAGGGGCCCGGAGAGGAACAGGACCCACATCCTCCCTCTCCCCGCCACTGGTCCCTGAGTGCAGGACAGGGGAAGGAGAATCTTTGAGGAGAAGGCAAGACTGAAGCTTCGATTCTGACTGAATCAGTGCCCGCTCAGCTGGATCAAATGCCCTGTGGGTCCCACCTTATCCAGACGGGCCTAGTCCAGCGATTGGAGGAACCACAACCTTCCCTTCATCCACAGCTTTTCCTTCACCTGCCTGGGTGAGTCCAGAACTTTTAAGTGTTTTTCTCTTCCTACTCTCACCTACTTGGAGAGGCCCTACCCAGCTGTTCTGTTTTTGGCTTGACTGTGTTTTCAGGGCAGGGGGACCCCAGATGGAGGGGATCTGAGGAGCCATATCCCCACAAGACTGTCAGAGAACAAGTGAAGCCCAAGACACACCCAAGACTCTAACCCAGAACAGGGTATTGGGCGTGGGGCTCTGGGGATGAGAAAGGTTTTGAAAGGAGGGAGGCCTGTCTCGGATGCTTCTGGGATTGGGCTGGGCAGTGGCTGGCTGGCTCTGGGGCCAGCTCATGGGGTGCTGCCTCCGTCAGCAAGACGGCCATGCTCATAGGTCCAGCTGTTCCCAGGGGAGTGCTCAGGCAGCTCTCTGCTGCTGCTGCTCTGGCTTCGGAGACACACTCAGAGGTACGTGCTGCTCTAAAGGCCACCCCTGGGCTAGAAGTACTTCCTGAGGCCTCGGAATCCTTTTCCGAGGGCACTGCGTTCAGAGGGCTGGAGGAAGCAGAAGGCTGTCATCGGCTGCCTAGGAACTGTTCCCGTATTACATTTCCTCACCATCCCCTCCCCAAATGGCGAAGTAGAGCCCCTTCGGGGATGGGGTCACTGATATGAGGTCCTGGGTTTCAGAGAGACCAAACACCTCGCTGTGGGCAGGACTCCTGCTCCAGGTCGTCCATGGCATCCTTCGGGCTCCGGCCATGTGGCTCTGGCAGCAGGGCACAGAGTAAGCCAGCCCCGATGGGGAGGCTGCCGTAGATGAGCATAGGGAGGGCCGTGTGGTACTCACCCAGCAGGGTCACGAGTGGCGTGAGGATGTCCCCGATCCTCGAGAAAATGCCCACCAGCCCCATGCCCGTCTGCCCGCGCAAAGGTGAGTGCAAGCCGAGAAGACCCGGCCTCCGCTGGGCCACAGCTCATTTCCTTGGAAGCACCCCAGTGTCTCATCTGGTCTCCAGGCCCATGCAGTCCAGCCAGCCTTCCTGCCCCCTCCTCCTGCACTTCCCCGAGTCCTACTGTGTGGCGTGCTTTTGCCACCTCCAGGCCTGTCTGCCTGCTGTACTCCTGCTCACCTGTCGAGTCTCAGATCAAAGGCTGCACCTCCTGACCACCTCCCGTCCCCACCGGAGTCTTCCTTCTGAGCCATTCATCAAACTTGGGACTTACTCCATGTTCCAGTCCTGACAAGGCCAGGGTGTGGCCCCTCCTGTATCTGCCCTCCGCTGCCCTCCGCTGCTCTCCACTGACCCCATCCAGCCTTGGACCCCATCCAGCACTGCTGCCCCAGAGCCAGCTCTGTACGCTCACTGGGGAACAGCAGTAAGGGCAGAGGGGGGGTGGCCAAAATCAGGGTCTCAGGAGCAGAGGAACAGGAGTTGCACCTGCAGTCCTTACCTGATGACAGTGGGGAAGAGCTCAGCAGACTACACGTAGGAGATGGTAAATCCGGCCGCCGTGGCAAACTTCCCCACCAGAGCCATCACAGTGCCTGGGGAGCTGGGGGTGTCGGAACAGATCCAGGGCATCCCCCGTGGGGCCGGTCTTCTCTGGGACCATCCGGGAGGGAGGTGCAGAGTGAGGGGCCAGGCAGGCCGGGCTGTGTGGTCAGATCAGGGCAGGGCTGGCCCAGCTACTGCAAGTACCTGGCTCAGGAGCTCGGGGAAGAGTTTTCGCTTGTTGACCAAGGCCACCCTCTGGATCAGTTGTTTAGCCTCCTCTACCCTCCCCCGGGTCAGGAGCCACCGTGCAGATTCCGGCAGAGCCCTGTAGGTCGGGCTGTGACCCTGGGGCCTGGACCTGGGCCTCCCCACTCCCCCAGGAGCCTCCCCGCTGTCCCAGTGCACACTGACCCCACAGGTTCGCTCTCCCAGACACCTCTCTGGACATGTAGCCGACCGAGGGGCAGCTTGCCTGGGAAGTATCTCCTCACCAGAAGTAAAGGAAGAGCGGAAGACAGGTGCAGCGCCAGCCACCTGGAAGAGCCTCCAGCTCTGGACGTCATGGGTGAGTCCTGCAAGGGCCATCTGCTCCATGGAGAAGGTGCACTGGGCCAGCACCACAGCCTGAGTTCTCCACCAGGGCCCCACCCACTCTGCAACTGTGAGAACACTGAGTCTGAGGCTGGCCCGGACCCTGCCCTCTCACTCCCTGCCATGGCTAGACGCCACCAGGTCAGGGGCTGTGGTCCTGGCCCGGTACAGGGAGCACTGGTACCATCACATTAGGTGCAGGGAGTTGAGCGGGCCCCACAGGCAGCGTGGGAACGTGGCCACCCAGACCCCAAGGCCTCGCTCTGCGGCTGGTGGCACGGGACCCAGATACCCACGTAGGGTGACACTGCTGAAGTTATATCCAACGACGGCCGTGGCCACAGCAAAGCGCAGGGCCGTGTAGAGCTCAAAGCCGGGCACAAAGGCTGCGGCCATGCCAAGGATGGCGAAGAGTAGCAGCTGCACCAGGATAGTGGCCTCGCGGCCAATCCTGGGGTAAGAAAGGGGCAGGTTGAGGAGGGAGTCTGTCTGAGGGGAAGGAGGGAGACCCAGCCCCCGGCCCTGCCCTGGGTGCTCTGTCTGCGGGAGGGTGCAGGGCCCCACCTGGGAGCCCCATTGCGGGAAGCAGGGCCTTACCTGGAGACCAGTGAGAGGGGCACGTGGTGGGGAGGAACTAGACCCTGGGCCAGGAACCCAAGAGCGTGCTGGGTTGGGGGAGCTGCTCAAAGTTCTTACCAGTCACAGAGGGGCCTGACGATGAGCGCCCCGGTGAGGAGCCTAGCCAGGTCCACCGACTGGGAGGTGTCCTTCGGATGCTTCCGACCACAGACCAGGTTCAGCTGAGGCAGACACATGCAGATGTGAGTCTAGGGGCAGCGAGGGCGAGTCCTTTACCAGCCAGCCCACCCACCACAAACCTCTCAGGACAGAAGTGGGGCAGGCAAGGCATCCCAGGGCACCAGCGTGAACTCAGGGTGCACAACACGATACTTAGAAGTGTAAAGGGAAACACTGTGACCCTCAGCACCTGCTTCGTATCAAACTACCAGCTCCAGATGGTTCATGCAATCTTTTTCAGTGACATCATATCTGTGTGAAGTTGTGTTTTTGGAAGTTACTATGAAAAAAAGCAAGCACCATGTGAAACTCAATGTGGAACAGAAAATGAGGTGGCGGGGTTCAAGGATCAAGACGTTTTGCAGTTCCCAATACATCCTATTAGGAAGTAATTGCACGTTAGGGTGAAATAAAAGTGTTTTCTTTTGATTCGTGTGTATTTTTTTTTAAACAGCTACTGAGTTATTAGTACATAAATCCTTCTTAAGTTGTTTGTTTTTTGTCATTGGTGTTGTTTTGGGTTGCACTACGCGGCACGTGGGATCTCAGGGGGATCACATGGGATCCCTGAGAGCAGGGATCGAACCCGTGCCCCCTGCAGTGGAAGCATGGAGTTTTAACCACTGGATCGCGAGGGAAGTCCCCCTTCTTAAATTGTTTGGAACAAATTACTTAATATGTGAAACTTTTAGGTATTTTTTTGTCCTGGAGATGCCAAGTAAAATTATTGACCCACTAAGAATGTACAGTTTGGGAACCTCTGACAGTCATTAACTGCTTCTTCCTGACAAATGGGGCCTCTTTCCCACAACCATGGCACCCCCGTGACCTGCTTGGGCCTTTCCAACTTTTCCCAACTGGCTGCAGAACCCCCCTGAAACTCCCATCATTCACAGGCAGTCAGAATCCTAAGGAGCCCTCACACACTCCTTGAGGAAAGAGATTAGGATGGAGGAATGTGCAGGCCTGCACACACGCGGACACACACACAGACACATACACACACAATGTGAGGGGGACAACCCACCTGGAGACTCACAGAGAGAACTTGACAGACCGGGAAACCAAGTGATGAAAATATGGGTGTCCATGCAAGTCTGTACACTCGTCTACTGCAACGTGCACATAACAATAAGTGCATGTGACTGATATTCCCCACCTCCATCTGTGGGCCCCGCAGTGAGTTTTATGCCCCTCTGCACATAGCTCAGCTCCATATGTTTATGAGGGTATCATGACACGAGCTGTTCTCCAGAGCTCACAGAGGTAGCTTCACAACAATATTAATGCTTTTTTTTAAAAAAAAAAAAAATTATTTATTTATTTAATTTTTGGCTGCGTTGGGTCTTTATTGCTGCGCGCGGGCTTTCTCTAGTTGCGGCGAGCGGGGGCTACTCTTCGTTGTGGTGCATGGGCTTCTCATTGCGGTGGCTTCTCTTGTTGTGGAGCACAGGCTCTAGGCGCGCAGGCTTCAGTTCTGGCACACGGGCTCAGCAGTTGTGGCGCACGGCCTTAGTTGCTCCGCGGCGTGTGGGATCTTCCCGGACCAGGGCTCGAATCCGTGTCCCCTTCATTGGCAGGCAGATTCTCAACCACTGCGCCACCAGGGAAGCCCCTGTTAATGCTTTTTGAGCGCTTACTCTGGGTTGGATAATGCGCCAAATGTTTTACGTGCATTATCTCATTTAAAAAATTTTATTTATTTATTTTGGCAGCGCCGGGTCTTAGCTGTGGCACACAGGATCTTCACTGCAGCATGCAGGATCTTTAGTTATGGCATGCTGACTTCTTAGTTGTGGCATGTGGACTCTTAGTTGCGGCATGCGGACTCTTAGTTACGGCATGCATGCGGGATCTAGTTCCCTGACCAGGGATTGAACCCGGGCCCCCTGCACTGGGAGCGTGGAGTCTTACCCACTCGACCACCAGGGAAGTTCCATCTCATATAATTCTGACAACGATCCTTGACTTATTATTATATTCCCCCAGGGGTCCCCAATTCCTGGGCTGCGGACCGGTACCACTCTACAGCCTGTTAGGAAACAGGCTGCACAGCAAGAGGTGAGCGGTGGTGAGCAAGCGGAACTTCATCTGCCACTCCCCATCTCTCGTGTTACCGCCTGAATCATTCCCCCAACACCCCCCCGGCCCTGTCGGTGGAAACATTGTCTTCCACGAAACCGGCCCCTGGTGCCAAAAAGGTAGGAGACTGCTTTATTCGTCTAAGGGAGAAGAGGTTAAGCAGCTAGTCCTGGCAGTGACTGAAACTGGATGGCAGTGAGTGAAACTGAGGGAAAGCTAAGGTAATGTTTCCTGAGTGAAGGAATGAGTGAATGAAGGAAGGAACTAATACCTTCAGTCAGATGAGTAGCCAATCTCCATTAGTTAACTAACCTTTAGCAAAAAATTAACCAACTCAGGAGGCAGCATTTTGCTCCTAGTTCTGTCCTGAAGGACAACTGTTAATTTTATTTTTATTTTTAAAAATTAATTAATTTTACTTTTGGCTGCGTTGGGTCTTCATTGCTACCCTCAGGCTTTCTCTGGTTGCGGTGAGCAGGGGCTACTCTTCATTGCAGTGCGCGGGCTTCTCATTGCGGTGGCTTCTCTTGCTGTGGAGCACGGGCTCTAGGGCATGTGGGCTTCAGTAGTTGTGGCACGTGGGCTCAGTAGTTGTGGCTCACGGGCTCTAGAGCGCAGCCTCAGTAGTTGTGGCGCACGGGCTTAGTTGCTCCGCAGCATGTGGGGTCTTCCCGGGCCAGGGCTCGAACCCGTGTCCCCTGCATTGGCAGGTGGATTCTTAACCACTGCGCCACCAGGGAAGTCCAACAACTGTTAATTTTATAAGAACTTTAAATATATATCAAATGATGAATGGACTGCCCCTGAGAATGAAGTGCAGCAGGACCAGGTACTTGAACTTGTTGTTCCACCCAGTTCTATCCGGTTTGCTTTTTGTCCAGCCACCACAGATTGCTTTGTAGTTAAACACTATTTAAAATAAATAATAATGAACAAAAGGCCTGCTGCTGTCAGCCTCTGGAGTCAGAACTGAGTCACTCTGTGTGACTCTGAATCTGTTAGCTGACCTGCTGGTGTCTTGGTTTCCCACGTACAAAATGGGGATGAAATACATTCCATGGTATCGCCAGATAGGATTAAAGGAATTAACACATATAGCATGCTTAGCACAGTGGCTGTGCTAGGTCAGCAAATGTTAGCTCAGCTGAGGCTGTACTGGCCCCTGTGCCATGAAGCACACAGCTGGTGACACAGGCATCTCAGACACAAGGGGTGGTCAAACTCTAAAGGCATGAGTGCTGAGCCATGGGACTCCTCCAAGGCTGCCACCCTTGCTTAGTGGACGCCATTCACTACCTCCCTGTAGTTGAGATATCCCCTATCTTATCAAATCCTCATTCTAACTCCATGAAGGCTTATCATTCCCTCTGTTTTGCAGCAAAGACAGAGGCTTGGAGAGGTGCCAAGACCTACCCAAGTTCATGTGCTGGTGTCATGTTGCAGATGGAACAGAGATGAAGAGGGCTCCAACTTGGGACACCAGTTGTCAACCTTCCCAGCCCTAATGCCTACAGTGGATGGTTCTGTCTGGGGCCTGCCACGGTGGCCCACAGCATCCCACCCCCATTTCCTGGAGGAAAACCCATCACATCTCCCTTCCACTGTTCCAAAACCATCAATGACTCCCTTTGGTCTCTAGGAGACAGCCCCAATTCCTCAGCATTGTATCTGAGACCCTTTAAGAGTTGGCTCTTGCCTTTTCTCAACCCCTTTTGTATGTGAGAATTGCTCACAGGGGCCAGGCATTTTCGTGCTCCAGACCCTAGAAATGGCTATTCTCTCTGCTTCCCCTTCCCTCCCATTGCTTCCTTCTGTGGTCCCAGGACGGATCACACTGTTGTTGCTATTCACTGATGGTCTAGTTGCCTCCCTATTCAGAGGTTCGTGTGGACAGGGCTGGGAGTCATTTTCTCTTTTTCCAAGGATGGGCACCCAGGAAATGTTGGACAAGCAGGTTGAGAAGGAGAAATGTACTCTGTCCTTCATGAGCACACTGCCTATAAAGAAATATATTCTTTTCTTCTTAAATTTGGATTGTTTTGTATTTCACTTTGCATATGAAGTTGCTGTTATAATAAGGAAACTTGGGACGTCACCTCAGAGGAGTCCTCAGTCTGTAGCAGAACCCCTGCTTGTTGACTGGAAACCAAGGTGGATACCTCACACAAGGTAGCCCCAGAGTTTGGGGTTGTCATGTGGTTCAGGGCACAAAGTACCAAAAGTGTACATTGCCCTGAGAGTCGCAGTTCTTGGGAGGGTGGATCCCTGGGAGCATGTCAGGGAAAGGCCGGAGGTCCAAGGTCCCACCCCAGGGTCAGCAAAGACTAAGTTGGTGACTGAGGATAAAGAGAGAGGCCCCCGATCCTTGAGAACATCCCATTCATTCCCATAACCTGCCCAGCCCTATCCCAGGCACACCAAGTCCCTGCTGCTTCCCAGACACATCACCTGCTTCCCGTTGCCAGGCCTTCCTTTTGCTATTCTCTGTCTACAAAGGCCTTCCCCTCTTCTACATCAATCTTATTCTGGTCCCTGGTGCCCAGTTCACATACCAACTCCTTCAGGGAGTTGCCTGCCCATTCCCTCCCCAGGAGGAAGCAAATTCTAGCCTTAGAGCCCATCTAGCCCTTTGTGCCTCTACAAGGAGCCCAGATGTTCTCAGAGAAGGTGAATAGGGTGCCTCTGTTCTCTGTTCCTTGCATAGTTAATACTCAGAAGCTGTTGGCTAAATATAATTGCATGAACAGACCAGCAAAGGCTGTGCACAAGACCTGGAGTTGGCTCCAAGCACTCTGGAAGTCTGCCTGGGCTGTAAGGATGGTGACATTTGGCCAGATGGGCAGAGAGTTTATGAGCACATGTAGAGAAAGACACCTCCACATCTAAGGACCGATGAAGACCAGACCTATCACGGGTGGGATACTGGGGAGAGGATGGAGGGGGCACTGAGGGTCAGACCGGCCTAGGCTGGGCTAGATCCAGGGGCTGGCAGAGTTCAAAGGCGACCTACTCCCCCTGTGGGGTGGAATGAGGGGGAGGGTCAGGAAGAAGGCAGGAGGACACATCCTCAGGCTGCCATGGTTCTGGAGGCAGGTGTATGGTCACATATTAAGAAGTGAATGTTTAGTCTCGGGGCTCAAATTGCCCTCCACAGAGGTTCAGGATTTGCCACCATTAAGGTGAGAGCTGCACAGATCCCCAACCCCTGCCCCTCAGGCTTCTGGACTATCTGTGCTCTTTCCCATGCCTGCAGGGAACTGGGCAGCAGGTGCCCCGAATGAGAGAGTCCCGGCTCCACCATCAAGTCTTTACGTTGCCCTCGCCAAGTCATCTCCCCATTCTGTGCTCAACCCCACTGTCTGGGAAGCAGCCTTTCTTGCTCTGAGGTGGTTGGAGTGGGCAACTTTCTATTGATCTGCCAGGGTCCCTACTACGAGAATGGAGTTAGCAGGAGCAATTGCCCAGTTATGTGCAGGACAGTCCTAGAGTCCTGGGTGTCCTTCAGGGTCTAAGAGGCAGGCAGGCAGGCAGGAGGAGATCTAGAGAGAGAGGCTGAAGGCAGGAAGCTCGAGGCAAGCAAGCAGGAAGGCAGACGAGTGGACAGGGAAGGGGTAGCATCAGAGGGTTAGTTAAATGCGAAGATAGGTAAGCAGGCAGACATGCAGAGGTGGACGGAAAGACAAAGGCAAATGGACAGGCAGATGGGAACATGGGGGAGAGAGAGAGAGAGGCATGAGGACAGGAGAACAGGAGAGACAAGAAGGAGGGCCACTGGGCAGACAGGCAGCGGGACAGATAAAAGCACAGGCAGAGATGAATGGACAGACACCCTGGACAAAGGAAATGGATGGAGAGGTAGATGAACCAACAGGCAGAGGACAGAGAGCAAAACAGGCGGACCCACCGTCATTCAGGCATGGGGTGCAGGGGCAGTCACAGAGGCAGCCACCAGAGACTGAGGGCACGGGGTCGGGCAGATGAGCTGATGGACTCAAAAGAGGTGGAAAGGTAGGCCAAAGGGCAGCCTTACCTCATTCTTTAGGGATAGGGGCCTCCTGCAGGATAGACCCGGCCCGCCTCGCAAGGCCTGTGTCTCACTGAAGCTGTGGCTGAGGATGTCCTCCAGGCTGGCACCGTTGGGGGGTGGCCGGAACAGGAGGCAGGGCTCAGGGCTGCCTGCAGCATCCACAGGCACGCTCGGCACCGGCTGCTCAGCAGCGCTCAGGGTCAGAGTCCGGTTCTTGACCCAGGCCACTGAACAGTGGTGGGCCTCATCCAGGACCATGAAGACCTGGGTGAACATGCAGAAGGCAGTCAGGAAGTTGGGGACACTCAGCAGTATCAGCAGCTGTACCTGGAAGCGACCAAAGCTGCCAATGTCAGCCGGGACCTGGGCAAAGGGAGCCACGGTCACTGGTTACCGCCTCCTTAGCTGGGGCCACCAGGCAGCTCTGTAGCTCGCTCTGGGGCACAGGCTCCTCTGGGCAGTGGCGGTGCTGCGTTACTGTTTAAAACAGCCTTGCCTGGCCCCACCTGTCACACCTCAGCTCCCCAACTCTGGTCTAGGAATGACAGAATATGATGAAAAGATAGTCCACTCTGACTTGGAGGATCCGAGGATGTTTTATGGACCGTGTGACAGGCACCACGAGAGGAACTTCTCAGGCCTGGCACACAGCAGTGAGCTTTAGCCAAAGGTTACACGGTATACAGGGACAGCACCCCCTCTAACTGCAACATCCTCTACAATTCACACCAGTGCAAACCCCTCCCATTATGATAGAGTCCAAATTCTGAGAGTAATTTCAGTGCGACAAGGCAGTTGCTACTACACTGCACCGCGGGGGATAAGTCAGTGGAGCAGCAAGGACCCAGCCTGCACATTAACTTGGCCAACAGCCCAACCTGGTCTCATGACCCTGAAGTTATTTTCTTCTGCAGGGTATCTAGCATGTGGTGGTATGCAACAGCAGTCAATCCAAGGGTAGTATGAAGGTCAGGAGACCCACCAAGGGCATAAATGCCTTTCCCTTCAGCAGCAGAGCTAACCAGTGCATCTTGATCTCTATCTAATCAAGGAAGGAACCATTAACACCCTCCCAAGACAGAAACAGATGCAAAAGCTGCCCAAGGGTAGCCCAACCACCCTGAGCAACCTTGGTGAGCACAGAGGGACAAAGGACAAAGCCCGAGCCCCCGCTGTGGAAGCCCCCCCCATTTGGGGGTCAGTCCTATGACCCTGCTGGAGTCGAGGTTGGGATGGGGCACGGCATGGGGGCTGGCAGGTCAGGATTCTTACAGGACAGGAGGCTAACAGAAGGCAGGACCTCTGACAACAGGAACCTCCCAACGATGAAAGCCCCCATCCTTTTTCCCTGGGGGGAGTCTCACTGCAGGTAGACCCAGGGCTTGGAAGGCATCTAGTTCAATCATAGGAGGTGGGGAATGGTGGGATTAAATAGAGCATTAGGGAAAAATACACGCTTGGGTATCACATTCACATATTTGCTTGGTAAGCATCGGAAAGCCTTTTTGTGTTTTGATTTTGAGACACTTTGAGATAAGAGATGGGCAGAGAAGCATGGGTGAAGGGAAGGCAAGGCAGCAAGGTTGTGCAGGGCCGTTCCTGATACAGTGTGCCTACATCCGCGGCCTGTTAGTCAGCACGGAGGGGGGGTCCAGGTAGGGCAGACGCTGGAAGGCAGAGGCAAGGGTCCACAACCCTGCCTAAGGAGAGGACATTCCTCTCTGCCCCCTCCCAAACTCCCCACCAAGCTCCCCACTGTCCCCAGCCCCACCTCTTCTTCCTCACCCACCTCGCTTGCGTGTTCTTGTCCTCAGCATAGCCTTCACTGAATTGCCAAGAAAGCAGACGCTACTACTTGCTGCTGCTCACTTTGGCGTTCACATTATGGGGAAAACTGAGGTGGAGACAGGAGCCTGGGCTCAGTGCTCATCATCTTTTCACTCTGATCAGGGTAAGGATTTCCGCTCTAAGGCTCCAAGGGGACTGGAGGTAGGAGGCAGGGAGCTTGGTCTCCACCACTGATTCACTGTGACCCGCAGTCTGCTCCTTCTATCCCTCTGGCCTCTATTTCTGCATCTGTGTATAAGGAAAACTTGCACTAGATGCTCTCTAAGGATCCTTCCATTTCTTGGTGTAGGATTCTAAAACACAGATAGATAAATGATGAGGAGATGCTGATAGACGAGTGAGACTCAACCAAAGACCTTCCATAGTTGTAACTATGATCCCCCAAATGCCACTGGCTTCACTGCCCTCCCAATTGCCCCAATCTTAATTTCTTAACTTATCTGTTCTCCTAACCCTCCCCCCGACCCCACCAGTCTGCCAAAGGCTCCCCATGATGCTTCAAAGCCTAAAACTGGCTCCCTTCTTTGAGGGAGTCCTCCCAGGAATACTGTAACCCCAGGGACCTGTGGTCTCACTGACCTGGGAGGATGAGCTCAAAGGAGCATATGTGCTGCTCTCTGGCGTCCCCGAGCACTCTCGTCACATCCAGTGTCCTCTAGGAGACTGCAGGGTAGGACGGGGCTGCCTCTGGCCCTTCAGGGAGAGCCTACAGCCTCTCTCTCTCTCCTCTTCCCCTCCTTGTACCTGCCTTCAGTAAAGGGCAAAACTAAGACCAAAGAGAGGTGTAACGAGAGTGTTCTAATCACTGGAGCTAAATTGAATGGACACACATCCCTGGCAATCAACCGTCCACGGGGTAGAGGGCAGTGTTTGTGCATATGGTGGGGGGAGGGGAAGGTACTCCCCAAACATCACCTACAGGGATGCACTGGATGGTGTCTCAAACCTCTTCCAAATTTGAGAACAACTCTAGTAGATAAAAACAGGGGATAGGCATTCTGGTTTCTGGTCCAGGATGTAAACAGCTTGGAAATTGTCACTGTGTTCTAGCAGGTAAAAAGCTGAACTGAAAAATCAACAACTCTCCTGTCAGAGAAGTGAGGTCACAGGGCAAACTGCTATCCCTTGAATTGGAGCTAGACAGGTAAATACAGAGAACTATAACTTCTTGGAGCAGAAATCCACAAACTCAAACTTCCACAGGAACCAGTAGCACAGTGGGAAAATCCGACTGTAATTGACAGACTGCTTGGGGGCTCAGGGTAGAAAAGGTGAGAACAGCCAACACAGTGCTGGAGAAGAACAGAGATGCAGGACTGAGAATACCTGACTTCAACCTTGACTATAAAGTACTCAAGGCTGTGTGGTACTGGCAAAAGATTACACACATAAATCAATGGAACAGAATAGAGAGCCCAGAAAGAAACTCACAGATTCAACTGATCAAAGAGCAATACAATACAACAAATGGTGCTGGAACAACTAGACACAATAAAGTGAATTTTTTTGTTTTCTAGTGCATATAAAAGTTATGTTTAGGGACTTTCCTGGTGGCTCAGTGGTTAAGAATCCGCCTGCCAATGCGGGGGACATGTGTTCGAGCCCTGGTCAGAAGATCCCACATGCCGTGGAGCAACTAAGCCTGTGTGCCACAACTACTGAGCCCACGTTCTAGAGCCCGCGAGCCACAACTACTGAGCCCGTGTGCCACAACTATTGAAGCCTGCGCGCCTAGAGCCGGTGCTCTGCAACAGGAAAAGCCACCGCAATGAGAAGCCAATGCACGGCAACAAACAGTGGCCCCCGCTTGCTGCAACCAGAGGAAGCCCGCGCGCAGCAACGAAGACCCAATGCAGCCAAAATATAAATAAATAAAAATTTTAAAAAGTTACGTTTATACTGTAGTCTCCTAAGTGTGCAAGGGTATTCTAAGAAAACAATTACATACCTTAATTTAAATTACATACCTTCATTTAAATTGCCTTAATTAAATTACATACCTTAATTTAAAAATATTTTATTGCTAAAATATGCTAACCATCATCTGACAACAAAGAGTTGCCACAAACCTTCAATTTGAAAAAAAAATGCAATAGTTGTGAAGCAGAAATAAAGCAAACAGCAATAAAACGAAGTCTGCCTGTATACAAAGAACACTTAAAACTCAACAATAAGAGAACCACCTGATTAAAAGTGGGCCAAAGACCTAAACAGACACCTCGCCAAAGAATAAATACAGATGGCAAAGAAGCATGTGAAAAGATGCTCAACACACTGTCATCAGGGAATTACAAATTAAAATAAGATACCACTACACACCTAGCAGAATGGCCCAAATCTAAAACAGTGACAACGCCAAGTGCCAGCGAACACGTGGAGCAACAGGGACTCTCATTCACTGCTGGGAATGCGAAACGGCACAGCCACTCTGGAAGACAGTAGGTGGTTTCCTAAAAAACTAGACCTACTTTTACCATACAATCTGCCATTGGGCTCCTTGGTAATTTACCCAAAGGAGTTGAAACATACCCACATAAAAACCTGCACGCAGGTATATATAGCAGCTTTATTCATAACTGTCAAAACTTGGACACAGCCAGTAAGTGAATGGATTAATAAACTGTGGTATATCCAGGCACAGAATATTAGCACTAAAAAGAAATGAGCCATCAAGTCACAAAAAGACACGGAGAGACCTTAAACGCATATTACTATGTGAGAGAAGCAGTTTTGAAAAGGCTACATATTGTATGATTCTAACTATATGACATTCCGGAAAAAGCAAAACTTTGGGGACACTGAAAGGCTCAGTGGTTTCCAGGGACTCGAGGGGAGGGAGGGATGAACAAGAAGGGTACAGAGGATTTCTGGGCGGTGAGACCATTCTCTATGAGACCATAACGATGGGTACACATCACTGTGCGTTTGTCCAAACCCATAAAATATACAACAGCAAGAGTGAACCCAAATGTATACTATGGGCTTCGGCTGACAACGAAGCGCCAGTGTAGGTTTACTGATTGTAGCGCGTGTACCACTGCAGTGCAGGATGCTGACAGTGGGAGAGGCTGTGCGTGTGTGTGCGGTCTGGGGGTATATGGGGACTCCGTGTACTTTCTGTTCAATTTTGCTATGAAACTAAAACTGCGCTAAAAAAAAATAAAGTCTACTTTAAGAAAGAGAAAAACAAAAAATGTGGGGTAGATGAGCTGACCCACAGGAGGAATCCATGAACTGTTGCACTGAGCATTGCTACTATGAATAGGCAGAGGTGAGGAAACTGGCTTCTGGACAAGACTGGATCTTGCTAGAGAATTATGGGCAAGTGGAGAGGCTCCGTTTACTCTTGCCCCTGCTCTTATCCCCACATACATCATGGTCACTTTTGAGTAGCCAGCAACTCCTCTCCATCCCCACAATAGTGAGAGTCCGCTCTTACAACCTGCTTATCTTGAAAGCAAATTCAATCAGCTATGATACCATCAATTCCAAGGTCCCAGGACCTGAGGCCTGAATTACCAGGACCCACACAGAAGCAGTCCTGTCATGGCTCAAAGACCACCTTCTGTTGGGAAGGAGTTATGATCAGGGAGGTTACTTATCCAGGGGGTGGAGGAATACAGAGGGGCCTAGAATCTTACACGAAACCTCACCATTTCAATATCAAAGCCAAATGGGAACAAGTTCAGCCCTGCTCTAAACTTTCCACAACAGATTCCCAAGGGCTTGAATCTGGCATCTTCCCCCCCCCCCCCCGCCCAATAGCATGAGCAGAATTAAACAGAGAAGGTCAATGCAAAGAGTTCCTTATCCCACTCTATCAAACTTCCTTGGGCAGATCTCTCTCTCTTTTGGGATTTCAGTTTCCCCACTTGGTTTTAAGCTGTTCTAATTTGTAGACTAATACACTTTTTAGGGAAAAGTGCACCTTGGCTTTTCTCTATTCGCATGAAAAATTAAAGTTAGTAGTGACCTCCTGACCCACTTCCCACTGCCCCCACCAAGAGTCACCAAAGTGAAGCACCCTTACACCACCACAGACAATTTATTCTTTATTGATTAAAAATGAATGAAACATGCAGCAAAGTACAAAGTCAAAAAAATAAAAATAAAAATAAAAGGGAGGGGGAAGTCAAATATTTTACATCTTCCATAATCTAGCACACACCATAAGGAGGAACCTCCATTCATTGATACACCATTATTCTGTCCTCCAGATTATTAGAGTATCAGCTGGCTCTAGGATTTGGTTCACAACTTAAGCAAAAAACCCAAACAAATCCATTAGTCATTTAGAAAGACCATACATTTCACAAATAGCATTGGCACATGTTACCTTGTGCTAAGTTAGTCCCTCCCCCAGGGACCAGGGGATCCTGGGGATCCAGGGAGAGAGGTGTATCCTGAATCACCCCTCCTGGGAAGGAGCAAAACTGCTCACTAGGTCACGTGCTGTCTCACCTGCAAAGTTTCTGTTCACTCATTTTTTTT